TGCAACTCATACCATGACAGATACACAAGAGATGTGATAAGGAAGGTATAATAGACCCTACTGTATCCTATCACCAAGTTACCCCATCATTTTCCCCTTAGTTATTAGCTAGTATTTTCACTTTCAATCTTCACTTCCATTTTTCCATGTATTTCTATTTTGTTCTATGACATTCCATCTCTTTCCATTTTCCTCAGGCATATTCAGCCAACAGACTTTCTTTTCAGCCACCAAGCATGTTTGTAAGCATGTCATGTGACTGGTAGATATCATGATTTGTAAAGATTGAGCTTGACTCATCATGTTTTGTCATGATTCGTCATGCTTTGTAAGATTTCTAAGCTGTATTTATAAGCTACTTAGTAAGAAGGCTGATTCAGCACACCAAATGGCATTGTTAGTAAGCACATCCTTACCAATCCATGTGATGACTCATGCCATGATTCGTCATGCTTTGTAAACTACACTGTATTTATAATGTAAATTAGTAAACAAGCTGACTCAACACACCAAATGGCATTGTTAGTAAGCACATTCTTACCAATCCATGTGATGATTCATGCTTTGTAATCAGGGCCTCCAAAAGGTATATAAGGAGCCCAATTTTGCCATGTAATAAATGGAGCACTTCCCACCTTCACTCATCTCAAACAGTGTGAGATTAAGTAAGAACCTAAGTACAGGCAATTCATTAGCCTCAAAGTAAGACTAAGAAACAGTTATTCAATTATATACTACCTTACAGGGGTTGATTATATAATCTATCAGCTATTCTAACTAAGTTTAAACCCATACTATTTTCCTCTCTCTTTTACAGGAAGGGAGACACGATTCACGCTACACATTTCACGCTACACGCTACACGGGCACGCTAACTCTCAGACACAAATCATACCGTAGACTCAGTATACAGAATCAAATTGTTTTAAACTAACCAAGGAACAAGGAAAGAAGGTATATTGAAATAAATCCTCCCAAGAACTCACACATTATCTACACGAAACTAGAAAGTCGTAGACCGTGTACTTAAGGACTGGCAATAAGTCTTATCCTATATAGTTGTGTTGTCACTATATAAGCAGCGTACATAAGACCCTTAAGTAAGAGGACAGCGGTCCTGTGGGTTTAGGCCGTCGTTTTCATCGTCATCATCGTCCAGATCATCATCCGGATCACCACTGTTGTCATCGGGTGGATTACCAGGGAAATCATCATCACCATCATCAGGATCATCATCATCATCCAGAGGTCCTGCGGCAGGAGTGGGCGTAGGGGTTTCCGGGTGTCGACAATTTAGGAGTTCGGATATGGTTTGAGCGGGTCCGTGACTAACGCGTCGCTGAGAGAAACTGGTGAAGGTATTGACTATGGGTGTCGGATCACGATGGAGGGAGGTAAGTCCAACTGCGTGCAGAGTTGTTTGTGTCTTGGTTGGAGGCATGATAGGTGTAAGTAACTCGGAAAGGTATGAGTTTGAATATACTGTTAAGACCGTACTCAAGTAGTATCGGATCCGAAGGGCTTCAGCCTCAGCTCGTGCGCTGTGCCCCTTTCCCGAGTCTTGCCCCTTATTTCAGAGTCTTAGAGTATCGTGTATATTGAGATGGATAAGTCTCGTAACGGATCCGTTATGGCTTCCGGATATCGAACATATATAGTAACGGCTAATCCGGATCGGATCCGAACTAGAAACTAACGGGCGAGGACTGTCCAAAGACAGAGACAGATATATAGACTATAGGAATCAATCCTAAGTCTCGGAGTAGACAAGAGTATCGTACTCAAGTCCGGACGGATAACGGAGGGACTTGGAGTCCAGACAGAATGAGTGCAATCTAAGATGATATTCGAACTGATCTACTACAGCGCATGTACAAGGGTTTATATACTATGGATAACTAACGGAATGATCGATAAGCAAAGGTGCGAGGCTATGTACGAAGTATAAGCAAAGTATGTGTACAGCATATTGGTAAGTCGGATGGATAATGTATCATAACCGGGAATGAAGTATAAGCTAAAGCGGATCAGTAAGTATAACGGATCAGTAAGCATAACGGAAGTAAAGGATAACCGGTATACCGGTGTACAGGAATGTCGAAAGGAGATGAACGATAGTTAGAGTTATATGAACAGGACATGAAATAAGGATTAGATTGGATCTATGGACCGGACAACGGATATGTACATCGGATCTGGATCGGATCTGAGATCCGGATCTTCAGATCTGTACCCGGGAATATGGTATATGACACTCCTGAAATGAGCGAAGAGTCAGCAACAGGGCAAAACAAACAAGAGTGACAAATGGCGGCCCTTACCTGCATCATGACAAGCCTTTGCGAATTAGTTTGGATCTTCGTCAATCAGAGTGACTCGGAGTGCATCTAAGATCCAAATTGTGTAGCTCAAAAGGTAGGTCTTTGCTACCAAGCTTTGTGGAAGGTATGTCACATTTTGGACACTCTCCAGTCTTGATACTGGTCACCAAGAGTTGCTCTGGGTAATTTCTAATATAACAGACCACAAGAGGATGACCATGACAGAGGGCCCCATCACCACTAGCCATCGACATCCAATACTTCCCTGGCTCAACCAGTGGCTCAAAAAGATGATACATGCATGCGTGGAACAGATTAGCAAGACACTGCTGCCTGGCTGCTTTGTTGGTGATGTGCTTGAGCTTGGTGGTGGGAAGATAATCCACAAGTATCTGTGCGTTACGAGAGGGCTGTTGCTGTACTTCCTTGGGCAGGTTTACAATAGTCATAAATTGAGTAGGCAGCTTTGTTTCGAAACATTGTCACCTGGGTTTTGTCCGAAGACAGCAGAATTGGAATGATCGTGGCCCCCAGTTGTTCTTTCTCAAGTCATTTCTACCCATCAGAACTCAATTAGCATCATGATAATTGCATTAGTATACCATCCTTGCACCTGAGTTCACCACCACCACTGCCCTGTATGCATGTTGTGGTAGATGCGCTGAGTTTTGTCCTCATCAGAATAGTGGTGTTCGGAGGCAAAAACAAGGTGAGGAGCTAATTCTGGGTCTCCAAACAGAGGCTTCACACACTCAATGATGTCGCAAAAATAGACATCAAATGCCTCACCTGCAACTAGGATCTCCTGCCGCTGCAAATGAGGATGATAGCCTGGAATTTTGTTATTGATGATCTTATTGAGTTTGTGGGAATTCCAGTAAGAGAGATTGAGCTTTTCACAGACCTATGTCACTGATAAGTACTGTCATTTGGTTGTTCAGCACTTGATAACTCACACCCTTGATGTCAAGTAAATCCGAGAATGCGGTTGATTCTTGGCCTTGCAGCTTTGCTCAATGAGCAACTTTGTAATTGATGCGCTGTCATGCATGGTATGTGATCCATACCATGACATATACACAACAGCAGTGACAGGGAAGGTAGAAGACACCTGACTGATTCCCTATCAAACTTCATTCCTATTTTTTTTATGTATTTCTATTTTGTTCCATGAGATTCTATCTCTTTCTATTTTTCTAGGCACATTTAGCCACCAGACTTTTCCTTAAGCCACCAAACATGTTAGTAATCATGTTATGTGACTGGGAAATACTCTGATTTGTAAGGATTCAACTTGACTCATCATGTTTGGTCATGATTCATCATGCTTTGTAAACTTGCAACTGTATTTGTAATCCACTTTGTCATAAGGCTGATTCAGCACACCTAGGGACTTGGTTTGTAAGCACATTTTTACCAATCCATGTGATGACTCATGCTTTTCATTTTTCCTTCTTTGTAATACTGCACTTTATTTTGTATGTACATTAGTAAACAAGCTGACTCAACACAAGTTTGTAAGCACATTCTTACCAATCTATGTGATGAATCATGCTTAGTAAGATGGCCTCCCAAAAGGTATATAAGGAGCCCATTTTCACCCATGCAATTTAAGCTTCCCACTTTAACTCTTTTCTCAAACCGTGTGAGAACCAGTAAGATCTAAGTGCAGGCCATTCAGCAGCCTTGAAGTTAAGAATAAGAAACATATATTCAGGTTATATACTACCTTATAGGGGTGACTATATAACAAAGTACAGCTACCTAGCTAAAGTTCGTCAGCACTACTTTCCTCTCTCTTTTTCAGGAAGGAAGACATGAATCACGAGACACACTTCACGAATCCATGGGCACACACTTGCCAAAACACATACAAACTTCACACTCAGTATTTCGAGACCACAAGGTTTAAACTAACCAAGGAACAAGAAGGAGAATATTGAAAGACATTCCTTCCAAGAACTCAGCACGTTATCTACCACGAAAACTAGAAAAGTCATAGACTATGTACTTAAGGACTGGCAAGAAGTCTTATCCTGTATAGTTGTGTTGTCACTATATACGTGTTGTATATAAGACCCTTAAGTAACAAGACACTGGCCAAGAGACCATATAGACCGGCCGACAATTTAGTGTCATGGCTGGCCAAGAAACCATATGGACCAGCCAAGAGGCTGAGTAGCACCATGGGCCCAGCAGTGTATTACCTCTACAATATACCTGTGGGCCCAGCCATGTATTATCTCTACAATATACCCATGAGCCCACAGTCATACCACCCAACTATGGGCCCAGCCATATATTACACCTACAATTGGCCATGGGCCCGTCTGGGATGGCCTGTACAGTATGGGTGATTGTCACATTGGGCTGACCGTGAGATATGGACTATTTCACTGAATGGGCTCTGCTTAAATAGGCCATATGGGTGCATGGACCAGAAGAGATGTGTAAGCAATATAAGTACAATGAGTTTCAAGAGATATGTATAAAAGGAAAGCACAAGGGACGCATAAGTAGCAGTACAAGAAACAAGTCTAGCGGCGGCAGGATGCAGCACGTGACATAATACAGGTAAATGAGATAAAGAAAAGAATAGGGGCATACAGTTGACTGTAACATTACATGTCTACTTGTAGTCCTTCATATGTATACTGCTCTCTCAGGCTGGTTAGCCTCTTACCCCATCTCAACTGTATGTTCACCCTTCTTAGGTGTTGTCTTGAGTGACATCAATGCTGCAGTCTCCAACATCAATGCCAAGCATTCCAAAATGAGGTTTGTGCCCGTAGAATCAGCAATACTGAACTCCCAGCTGACTTTGATGAGCCCTGAATGGGTAATCATGACAAACTTCCAGTGAATGCCATCAGATGCAACACCATACACTAATGTGTCAGTTCTTCCATGCACCTCCCAACAGTGATGGATAGTTGCAAGATAGGCCAGAAGTTGAGGTACTGCAGCATCAGCTGCTTTAGCTTCAACAAGCAGAATAAGGGACTGAAACTGGTTTGGGGGTGTGGTGTGTGACTCTGAGGGGAGTTTATGGTCAATGCCATAATCAACACAGCCATTGATAGTAGTGGCTTTTTTTAGCATCAGCAATTGTTTGAAAGTAACCTTCCTGTAGGCCATAATGTCACTGAATGAATTCTGGGTTGGAGTCTGTGGCACTTCATTTGACATGGTGTTGAGGTTGCCATCACCTTTCTGTCAGGATTCATAGTTGGTAAGAGATACAAGAATTAGGGGGGAGAAAAGCTTACAAGGTACATTAATACCTCAAGAAGTATCATGTCTATAGCAGTTCGGTGCATACCCTCACTGCTGTGAGGGAAGTTCTTCTGGTAATTGAACAGGAGAAATTCTGTGGCTACATTGTGAGTAATAGACATCAAAATGTAGCTTTCATAACTTACGGATCCGATCTGATATCTCAACAGGTAGCTTCTTTGTCACCTCTTTCTCAATCATCCAAAGGTGGGGACTAACATTAGTGAGGACATAATCACTCCATTGGAGGCCAAACATATCAGCCACCTCCTTGATTAATTTGAAGTCAGTGGCTGGTCTAGTGACTCCCTGCTTTTCCAGCAAAGTAGACTTTATGCCTTGCATTTTCTCTGCCAGCTCTGGGTATTCTTTTTGTAGTTCCCAAAGCAAAATATCCAGCATTTCTGAATCAGTTCGATCTGACATATTGTTCGAGTAGAGTGTAAGAATGCAAGGGGAAGATGATGACAACCCCTGAGGCCACGATTTTGGCGCGCTTGTTAATTTAAAGTCCGAGCGGTACTTACTATATGTGGTGCCCGGGTAGTACAGTCAGCCAATGAAAATCGTTCATAATTACATAATTCCCAAGGCTGCATCAACCACCGTCACCCGTGAGCTCAGGCTGGCAATCCTGACAACCATGTCTGAGCAGGAAAGAAAAGAGATCAACGCTTTCATCTCTTTTTTCGCAACTTTTAACCTAGCCCGGCCAGTCACCACCGTCGCAGATCTCAGCGATGGCGCCGCCCTCTTCGATGTTCTCGCTCTAGTGTACGTCTCGCGCCGTCAATTCATCTGTAACTAATTCAAGAGACTGAACGTTGCCGTCAGAGATGCAGAGTACTTCAGGCAGTCTAGCAGGTCCTCTGCACAGCTCTCCGATAATTGGGTTCTCCGGTTCAGCGCTCTCAAACGTCTCTACCGACTCCTCACGCAGTACTTTGCTGAAGTCTTGCAGAAACCTACCAGCGGGCTCGAAGTCCCGGATTTGCAAGCTATTGCGAAGGATCGCCATGTCGGTGCGACGCTCATCATGTGCCGGATAACGATCGCGATCGCGGTGCAGTGCGAGCAGAACAAGGAGATTATTGCCCGGATTCAGCAGTTGAATGAGGGAGACCAGCATTTTTTGATGAAGGCTATTGAGCAGGTATGTTGATTGCACGCGTGGAGCATTCACGATTATTAATGCGTGCGCGTAGGTGATAAGCAAGATCAGTGCTTCGCAAGGGGATATCAGTGTTAGAGAGGCCAGCATGACAGAGTCAGTCGTTGGTTGTGAAGAATGAGCTATTGGTACTGATGGGACATCCAGGGACGACCATTACTACCTCATACAGTCCGAAAGAAGCCAGATCCTTTCAGAGAAGGAGACTGTAGAGAAGGTCTATCAGGCTCTTCTTGAAGAGCACCGGACGCTACAAACAAATTTCGACGATGCGGTGTCTGAAAAGGACGATGCGTTGACACGGTTACGCGAAGCACAAAGGGCCATTGAGAGCAAACGCAACGACAATGCGTATGGGAATATGCGCGCTGAGATCGAGCGTCTTCGCACTGAACTGTGAGTATATATTCGAACCACTCAGCCAGATCCCGTCTTATGTCTGCGGAGGTGCTAGCCAAAAGAGCGAAGACAATCTTGCCATGGCGGAGGCTGAGCTTGACAAACACACGTCGTTGGTGACTGATCTTACACGGCGAATCGACGAGTTGCAGGTCAAAGCCGACGAGGCTGCGCGCCTCAAAGACCAAGTGGACGAGTATGTGTCATACCTCGATCACTTATTCACATTGGCGCTCAACACACATAGGTATCGTCATGCAGCCGATAGACTACAAAAGACAGAGAACGTCATGGAAAAGTACAAGAAGAAAACTCCAGGAGGGCGCCGACCTTCGACAACACGTCAAGGTTTGTTCTTTGTGTCGTAACCATGTCGACCACTTCAATGACTTGTCATTCAGTCGCTGGAGGCACAAAATGCCGATCTCGTCGACAAGAACGCAGCGCTTGAGGAGGACTACCGCAAGGTCGCCGCATTCAAGCCACTCATAGAATCCTATAAAAACCAGATAGCTGAACTTGAAGGAAAGGTTTCAACACGGTCACAAGAGGTCGAGACAGTAAAGTTCGAGTTGGAACAATCCCGTACGAAGTTGAAGATTACTACCGAGGAGCGCAAGAAGGATACCGAGATGTTGGAGCTCTACCAGGAACGTATGCGCGAGATGGAACTAACTACACATCGGGCACCCACTACATTGAGAACGGAAACGCAGGCGACAGATCCTACGGAGAACAACGATGAGCTCACTGAGGAAGACCTCATGGGCGACTCGTTTGGTCTTGATGGAGAGTTAGATGATGCTATTACAGGGACGACGATGACGGATTTGAAGCTGCAGGTGAAGAAGTTGCAACGGGAGTTGGAATCAGTCAAGAAGAACGAGGCCGATGCCAGCCGTATACTTGTCCTCGAGAACCTGCTAGAGGACGCTAATAGGATGAAGGCACGGTACGAAGCGGATTATATGACCGCACACCGAGAAAAGCTGGTGTTGCAACGCGACCTTGAGGAAATCCGAAGTGGCAAAGCGCTAGGAGATGGGTAGGTGAATCTCTCCCACACAAACAGCCGATACAAATCATTCACAGGCCGGAAGCTGCGATTGCGCTACGACAACGTCTTAACGAGACGGTGGATCAGTTAGATTCTTTGCGGAAAGAGCACGCCGAGCTTGAAGTTTCCTTTGAGACTCAGAAGAGGGAGTTGACAATTGCCAAATCGGATCGTAAGTCTTTGGATATCGGTGGTGCTACTCTTTTTGACTGGCGGTGCTTCGCAGTGAATCTTGTAAACAAGGACCAGCTCGACATTCTTTCATCATTGCGAGAATCCCTCAACGAAGACAAGGCGGGGATGGAAGCTGATATGAATCGTTTAAAGAACCAGATCAGGGAGCTGAGCGATAAGAATAAGATGCAATTGGAGCAGGTCAATGCGCTCCTGCTAGAGAAGGTGAACCTGCAGAACGACGGTATTGGTCAGAGGGAGAAGATGCTCCAGCGTGAGCGAGTGTTTGGGTAGGTCGTTGCAGTTGTTCATGGAGGTCTGCATCGCTGACTGCTACCAGTGACCTGCGAGCGTCGGTCTCTGGCAAAGATGTACCAGAAGATATCAAGGCAAGGCTATTGAGTTTGCATGAAGACAACGTGGTTATCAAGGAGCAATTGAAAACCGCTCAAGATAAGCTTGCCAAAGCACGGCAGGTACGTGATACGGTCAAGAAAAATTGTTGCTCGCTCAGTCCTGCCTTTAGTTCATCAAGTCTCAGGACAAGCTTTTCAAGGAGGAGCAAGCCAAACTCGGTGGCCGTTCGACGGTGAGTTTTAAGTCTACTTGGCTGATCGATGTTCTAATAGGTGAACTGTCGTGCAGTCCTCTTTCGAAGAGGCTGAGGGAAGCTTCCAAAGTCAGATTAAAGATTTGAAGGAGGAAGTTCAACGCGAGAGGGTACGCGAACTTTGTATAATAAAGTATTTGGTCGGAGCTCATGAATCAACCCATCCAGGCGATGCGCCTCGACCTCGAGAAACAATACCACAAAGAGCAAGCGCTGATGTCCAGCTGCGTATTCAACCACGGCATGGCGAAGCTTCGAAACGCATCAAATCCGTCGAAAGGCAAGCCTGCTCCCACTGCATGGCTCCCGCGACAACGGAATGCGGTGAGTTGATATTCCTTTTTGTGTACTCTTACCTCATGTGATTCTCTAGCTTGGATCTGGACTTCAACGGTAGTTCTCTCTTCATCATGACCGCTCATACATACGTTTAGTTTTTCTGCACCTAATTCGGAGGACCCTCATCAAATATACCCCTGCATTGTTCACCACACATTCCTTTGTTTGATATCAACCTTTTCATCCTTAGAGATCATCACCTATAGACAGAGGTGTGCAATCGAGAAGTTCAAGACACTGACCTGTCGTAACTTGGGTGTTCCCTACACAGTGTGGTGACAGCATGACCGATCATGTAATTAGGTGGTCGTTTGGTTCCAGAGTCAATAACTGATTCAATTCAACAATCACAAAGAAAGAGACAGCTACAGTAATACCATAGATACATGAAGAAATCAATTGCAGACTGGAGAAAGACCAGAGCATTTGTTCTCTGAAGAACGGGATTCTTAAGTTACAAACAACCAAGACTCATACTGTTTGTGGAGCACCACGGAGAGTCTAGAGACAATCCGGTAACGACTCTACAAAGAGAAAGAGGTTGGGAAAAAAGATCCCCCGACGACACAAGCCAGTAGTGCAGCAGCAAGGTCATCATGTCCCTCGAGTTGCAAGCAGAGCTCGTGAGAACAAGGGCGGCAAAAATTTGATAACCAAAGAATGAGGGCGGTGCCCTCATAATAGTGGTTAAACTATTAAGAACAGATACTACACTTGATCTAAGCCAAAAGGCCAGAGTGGTAAGGTTTCAACTTGTTCCCAGCTCCCTTTTATATCTTCTGCACTAGCGCACGGACCAATTTTGACTGATTTACCCGATTTGGAATGCAACACAGGTGCATGACTTCCACCATCGTGCATAGTCTGGTGCATATTGATGGAAGCTTTTGTGAAGGTGGCTGGACAAATCCTTCGTAACGCTGTCGCTCTCTCTGCACTATTGTCAAAACCAATATCCATACCAAATGTTCGCCATAACCGAAGACCTCCGGGTCTCCGAAAACAGCATGAAGCAGGTATGCGTTATCGGCTTTGTATCTCAGTGTAGCTGACTCCGACTCGTAGGGATCAATCTTGCAGCCACCATCTGTTCAGCCGAAACAGAAGGCGTGCACTTGGCATCCACAAGCATCACATTCAAACCCGGGAAAATAGAACTACCTAAAATATTAACTGCTGATCCCGGAACAGCAGGCTCGACAACCCTGCTTCTCCAAGTCTCCCTGCCGTGTTTACTATTTTCTTCCTCGCCCACTTCGCCTTCGCAACTAACTCTCCGCGGAGGGACCAATGCATCACAAGCTCCTCAAATAGATTATACCCAGAATGTTTTCTTGCCCTTCATGAAACGTCATTTTGGCGTGGATATTGCGCTCAAGATTATGCGGCGAGGTTACTTCCCCAAAGGAGGCGGAGCCGTATTTTGCAGTGTTCCCTCGCTAACCGAGGCACTTCCTCCAGTAACCCTTACAGAGAGGGGCCCTGTTCGACTCATCAGAGGTGAAGCACGGGTCGGAGGGCTTCCTTTCATTCTTGCAGAACGCATGAAAAATGCTGCGCGTGCTACACTACTCGCTGGAGGTGTTTCTCCTACTGCTATCCGGATCAATGCTGTCAGAGAGGCCCAGGAAGAGGCGTTTGGCAGTGGAGGGGGGATCTTGTTAGTCGCTGATACTGATAATGGGTGCGTGATAGGGGGATCTTCAGTTAGCACGAAGAGTAAGGCTCCAGAAGAGATTGGAAATGAAGCTGCAGAGGAACTCCTTCGTAATCTTCGTCATGGTGGATGCGTGGATGAGTATCTACAGGTCAACGATTTGCTCAGTTGGAGTTCAGTCCGCTAAATTTCGAACCTCAGGACCAGATTATTATCTTCCTAGCCCTAGCAAAGGGCCGCTCAACAGTGAAGACCGGACCTCTCACAGATCACTCAAGGTAAGGCCGTACTTTTCACATTAATCTACCATAACTCGAATCTTTCCATAGAACTGCAATAAAAATAGCGGAACAAATGTCCGGCGCTACATTTCATCTCGAGGAGAATCCATCAGGTTTCGTCATTATAAGCTGCGACGGCATCGGTTATACCCCTTCACTCTAACCCATGGAATAGATAATATATGATGTGCGGCGGGGGTAAGTTCATAAAATGATATTACAGGGTCAAATCGGCCAGCCTCCAGTACATACGAGTGTTCATGAAATCCAACACGCTCTATCGGTTCCAAGATAGCAATGACATATCTCCCAAACGTCTGCACTGCATTTAGCCATAGTCTCATAATACATGACAAAGCACCATACCTCGGCTTGAGAACGTGTCGGATAGTGCCCGCTAATGCAAGGAACACAAAGACAGCCGACGCTGCAACGTACGCCCAACCCAAGAATGGGTTCTTCCCACCTATCCAAGACACCGTGGAAATGATGAGAGATTTCGTTCCCTTGTAGCCCTGAACCGGATAATCTGAAAACGAGCGCAGCAGTCAGAAACAGAAGCAGTTGCAGTGACGACGACCATACTCATATAGACAAGGACTTGATATTGGCCCGCAAGTAGGGTCCCAGTATCGTTGCGCCCATAAAGCTTGCTAAACGTCGGCAAACCTGACGTCCGCATCCAGTTTTGGAAATGCTCGTCCGCTTGCAGGTTTGGTATGGAACTAGCGTTGGGGTAGCTTGGGAACCGCAGCGCCCAGTTCGGAGGAGGTACAACCTCATCCAAGTTATTGGTGTAACCTGACGTTGCGCTGTATTTCTTAGCCTCGCCAGGCCAGGCGATGCCAGAAGATGTGAAAGTATAGTTGGAATTGCCTGACGAGTCACCCATAAACGTAAGGTTAGAGAAAGTGTCTGTACAACATTAGGTCATCAGAATCCTAGACATTGCACTGTAGTCAGTGAGACGCACCATTAAAAACAGAGTTAGCGATCAATCCGCAGGGGTAGATAGCCTTTCCGTCTGCATTGGAGCCAAGAGGCTGGCAATTACTGCCACTGAGAGTACTCGCGGAGACATAGTCACCCTGCAATTGAGAGGTATCCAAACTCTGGACATATCGACGGTTGTTCTGGTAGAAGTTAGTGAGCTTGTAATACTGGAATACTGGGGCAGCCAGGTCAGATACGACGTCGAAGTTGATGTAGCATGAATGTTTCTGGGCCTCTGGTGCTGTGTCATTATAGTAGTAAGCGAATTGGGGAGGTGTGATCGTTTTGTCCGAGTCTGATGATCGTAGGCTATACGTGTAAGGCATGTCCGTGAAGGTGAGGCTGCTGGGCGACGTCGAACTTGTCAGATTCCAGCAAGTCGTATAGTCGAATGTCATTTCCGACACCTTTTCGATCACAGTTGTGGATAATGAACAGCACAAGGTAACCTAGAACTCACAAGGCTGCTGCCCCACACCAACAAGCCGCCAATCGGTGCAAAGATAATCCCAATAATGAACAGGGTAGGGAGAACAGTTTTTGGCGTCAAGATAGGCTGCCACGCCTTAAGACGCTGCTGTTTGAACGCAGTATCTAGCGTAATAAGCAGACGTCAGAGTCTTCCCAAGGGTTCTTGAGCAGATGAACTAACTTGCTGGTTTCCTCCAGCTTCCTTTCTCCTTCTTCCCTCCATTCTGATCTTGGCCATTTTCGGAGGAGTCGCTACGCTTCTTTGAGCGGTTGAAGAGAGGCATGGTTGGTCGTGGTGAAGTTCAAGTCGCTTTGGCTCGGCTTTGGCGCAGTCACGGATGATGCAACCGGATGCTTAGTAACGCCGAACGGCTTGCGTGGAGGCGCGCCGCTAAACGCGCCCGCCGTAAACCAGTTCCGCTATTCATCATGGTATCCGCCTTTCTCATAGATGCTATCAATGATCCTACAAAAGTAGTCCAAGAACTCTATGAAGAACACACCGGGGATATCGATCAGTTCCCCGCTGTCGTCGCTCGCCATTTTTCAGATGTCTTTCTAAATTCTGATGATACGCTTCGCGAGGTTGGTTGGGATCTATGGAATCTTGCATTGGAAGCACCGTTATTGACCCTGATGTACTAGGTCCTTCCGTTGGATGTGAACCATTCCCCTGAATCATTCGCACATAGATCTTTGGTACGATTTCATGGCATGGTACAGGACACTTCGTCTTCGCCGGAGATGTATCTCGCGAGCTTGAACGAAAATAAATGTGGTGGTTGGGGGATCTCGCAGGATATGCCTGCTAGTGAATGGCCTTCGAGTTTTGATTACTGTGACCTTAAAGAAGCTACTGCTTTATGGGCCGTCACGGTACCAGGACAGACGGATTGGAGAACAGAAGAGTTGACTAGCAGATCGCATTATGGTAAGTTTGACGTGATGAATCGAAGTGCTTGCATCTGACCTTCACAGGTAGCTCTTCTAGTAAAAGCCCACCTCAACCTCATAAGTTTCCCGTGCCAAATGCGCCCCATATCGGCGTCCAAGTCAAGGTAGACATGCATGATTGACCAGAAACGTGGCTCATTCGTGATTCGTTAGATTTATGACAACGAGGCCGCTCAGTCACTTAAAGCTACTGACGTCGTTACGTTTATTGGAATTCTGACGTCCGAATCGTGAGTGCACAGACCATCTTTGTGACTGATGCTCAATCTGGTGCAGTCTTGATTCAGAAGCTGTTTCTTCTCCGATGGTCCCATCACTCCATGTTCTGTGCCATAAAGCGCAATCTACAGATGATGCGTCGCCCACGGGGGAGTTAGCGACTGTTCGAGATGAACTTATCAACTGGATTGCCAACGAGGCCCTCGGAGGCGATGAAGTCGCAGCACAGTGGCTTGTTCTCGAGCTTTCTGCAAAAGTGTCAGTTTTTCCCTTGTCTGTCAAACGAGTTCGTCTCATACCAGATACAGCTACACTCGGGCCATGCCCCTCCTACCTCCGTCCCTCACTTTGTCACGTTTTCCTTCACCCACACCGTCATCACCCGCACTACCTACCCTTCACCATGTACTTTCTGATTTGCTACCGCAGTATCTTACCGTGCCCCTCTCCCTGGATCTTCTTAACAAGGAAAGCTTTAGTCCTGAAAGCAAGGATGAGGATTTGCACTCGGGCTATCTGCAGGTCCCTCAAGGGACCACCTTACTGCTAACAGAGAATGGCGTGCAAGAGGGCAAGCTTGTAGAAAAAGGTATCAAGTCTAACGGTTCCTTCTGGCTTTAGCGTCTCATGTTGACATGGCTTTGCAGGCATCATGAACATCAGGGCTGTCCAGGAGGTCATGGATGCTCAGACACTCGAATACTCCTTCCCATTCAGTAAATTCTCATTTCCGACAGACATAGTTACGATTGTGCTATGCGATGGTCGGAAAAGTGCCTTCTTCCAGGTAATATAGATATCGTCCTTCGGTATGGTTCCAAGCCACTTGCTCATACTTTCCGTGACAGACGGGATTCACTATACCCCTGGAAACGAAACCCTCGCTCAAGGACAATCTGTATAAACCGAGAGACCAGATAAAGATACCCGATACTGTGAAGCTAGCGGCATACCGTTCTTTCCTTGCGGCTGCGAAACGGTGTTTTGGAACTGTACAAGTCGCAGAGGAGACGTCGCAGGTATGTGTGATATCGGACAGCGCATCTTGCATGGCTGACTTTCAAACAGCACATTCAAGAAGACTTTGTGCGTCAACGCCAAGAAGACCCATCTATAACAGCAGACGACCTCATTCACTTGATGAAAGTGGCAAGGTGCGGAGTTTTTCATTGATATCTGTTTGACGTTCATGCCCATGTTTGAGACAGATTACTAGCGGCGTCTATGCTTGAGCGGGAAGTCACTGTTGATATATGGGAAACGTCGAAGAGGCTTGATGCTAGTCGAAGGAAGAGAACGCCATGTTCCAATTCCCTTTCGTCGATTCTATCTGGTCACAGAATTAGCTGTGAACATCAACATCATTCGTAAGATCCCAGCAATACAAGCGGTTCCCGCAGATTCATCGGGACATGAGTGGCTGCAGAGCATCTTATCCGACTTGCTCGGTACAAATGGGAATTATTGATGATGCCTGTGCGTGAGAGTGGCCTATCTTGAGGGAAAGAATTATCTACCTAATCCATCTTGCGGATTCATGCTAAGCCACGCTATCACACTTCAACTTATGCGCGCGGTCAGCTTCGTGGCTACAGTACAGAATAATGGCAAACATCATGAAGTGGGTTTACAATATTCAAATCATGGCCGACCTAGTCCGTTCTCAGCGGCATTCATCCAATCTTCTGCTAGGTCATCTACTACACCACCAAGTAAACTGTGCACAGCTTGCCGGTTGCTCCCACTGCCTTCGAGGTAGTACTTGATCTAGGCAGGTTGATACGGAGAAGCTCAGACACGTCACTATATGAGGATACCAAGAGCCTTTACCTTTGGTTCGGTCCCACTTGTCCTGTGCAGAAAATGAACATGGCACGTAGTTGCAACTACAGTCACCTTAACTCACCTAATGGTCAGAACAATCCGAGAGTCGTCTGAATCGGATGATGCTCTGAACTGGATCATATGTCCCAAGGACAACGGTAATTTGGGCTGATAAGTGGGTGCGTTCGTACTATCGTAACCGTGCCCTTCCGTAAGATCGACAACACTCCGTATCTGCAACCCGCCAATTGAGGACGGATAGGAGCGTCCTTGAGATGAGCCCTGTCAACGATGATGTTTATTCCTTGCCATTCTAATCACGCTGAACAATACCATATCACCAGAAGAGCGAATTTTTCTAAAGATATTCTCTATGAGAAGAGGGTCGGTGCAGATGAAATAGCTGTTGCTCGTCTTTTCGGAATCCATAAGATGATATCCACGGAGATGGACGAGTGCATACGGACCTCGAAATATCCATATCTTGGTTCACGATAAACTCGTGGCCACGACAATGGTGAGGACGGCTCACCTTCGATATAGTTCTTGCAAATGTGCGCTTACTGTGGTGCCTCGCGCCCGTAAGCTTGCAGCAAGTTGTGCAAATACCATCTAGATGATCTGGATGAGAAAGAAGAAGAACCGGTTAGCTGCTAGGGCGACTCACAGTTGCGGCCACCCCATCTTTATCTCTGATTTCAGAACCAAACATGTACCCTATGGCTTCCTCATATCCAAATGGTACTTCATACCCGGCCTGGACAAGATCTAGAGCAGTATTGCCAATGAACTTGAAGCCTGGGACGACACGAATCGTTTCTAGCGCCTCGAAGAAAACCTATCATGCAGTGCGCACCTGTGAGACAATCAACAAAGCGAAACCCTTCGATTTGCGCCATGGCTTCAATCATCTTGGAGCTGACTGTCGAAGCAACCATGGCCAACTTGCCTAAAGATATGTTCAGGCAGGCTGGCGACGAATCATGCCGGACTTACCTATTGGCTTGCTGGAAGCCTTGTAGGTCTCGAATACATGATAGGCAAACAATGTTCCGAGTTGATCACCAGTGAACGTTACCCACTTTCCGTCACTATAGATCGATCTCTTATGAAGTCAGCCAGTACAAAATGCCTCATGCATACCAATTTTCAGCCGCGGAGAAGCGATCTGCGTCTGGGTCCTGCGCAAGGACGTACGATGCCCCTTTAGCGTTCGCCGTGGCTATGGCTAGATCCTGAAAACAAGTCAGTCGGTGCTCCAAACACACAAAATTCAGCATACAAGTGCGCCTGCAAGCTTGGTCGTCAGGGCTATAATCACAGGAAATGGAGAGACATTACCCTTTTCTTCAGGGTTTGGGAACTTCACTGTTGGAAATTCGGGATCAGGGTGCTGCTGTTCTTTGACAGGCGTATAAGGCGAAAATCCGGCAATCTCGAAGGCTCGAGATGTAAATGGATCCCCAACGCCATGCATAGATGTGTTTACGAACGCCACTGAAGCTCCGTCAAACCTAATGACTCATTAGGGTCAGAATGACAGGTGGTAGCCAACGACTTACGATAACATCTTTGCGCGCAGATTGCTGAGAGAATGGAAGTACCCTTTTTTCATCTCTTCCGTACAATCGATGCACAGGCCCGATTCAATTACTTGAGAAGCATCATGCACTCTAGGCTCCAAATGTTGCATAATGGACTGTGCGATTCCGACATCGTGCGGCCCTATGATCTGAAAGAGGAAAACGATTAGTGGTAAAGGATAGAAACACAAGCCACATGTGTCACTTGGACTGCATTTTCCCAATAAACCTAGCCAACGGTAAGTGGAGCACCATGAGAGTTGTAATCAGGGTCGAACCTTGTAACCATTGTCTTGCTATAGGAGAACTTCAATGAGCTACAGACTCCAAACACATAACGTCTGCCTGACCTTCGGGTTGTGGCTTGCTAGATCGGAATCAGCTTGAAGACGCGCAACTCTGTAACAAAAAGTGCAACGTACCTGTGATCATGACTCCGCAGGCAGCATTGAGCGCTTTTACGGAAAATGGAACCCTTAGAACATGGCTGATCTACATCAGAAGCAATCGCAAAAGGGTTAATGCCGTACATCGGAGTGTGTACAAGTCCAGTGTGCAGGTAAACCTTGACATTATTGGCGATGAAAGCAGCTGCAGTAAGTTGAGCCCATCTCTCCGAGTTGTGACGGTGGTCATGTCCTATGACTACTCCACGGGTAGCAGCATTCTCAACGTGTTCGAGGACATAGGCACACAAGCCCTTTCGCAAGGGGTTAGCTACGTCATATTCTCAACGATTTTAACCTCTTGATCAACCCACCTGGGATGCCTGAATCACGATCAGGTCATTCATGCGAGACCATCCGGCCTCCATCTTTCCCCTCAAACCTTTGTAAATTTAAACCTCAGGGTGTCAGACTGAGCTAACAATGAACATCCACACCTGCGGTGCCGAATTCTATGCGTGTCCTATGCGCGTCTCATGATCAGCATATCTTTGCCAGGACCGTAATGCTACAGTGGTAACACACCTCATACGTCTTTCCAACTCGCCGATGGCGTTATTATTCCACAGGTGTTCCACATCCTTTCTTGTGGATTCATTCTAGGGTAACTGTGAGCAACATCATCCTAAGTAGCAGCCTCTGGCACGCACTGGATCGAGGCGAAGCCACTCTTTAACAAGATTCTCCAAAGGTGCACTCATCACAATGATAAGATGATGTCAGACTATTGGTTAAATATAGATGGAATGAACAAGGAACGAATGTTAAGCGATAAGGGATCCGGCACTCGGACGCATGCAATGCTGGCGCTATAATTATTTCAGTAGTGACTCCAAGGACTGACTCTCAAGGACCGCTCTGGATTTCAGAACAGACCCTTTTCTCATGGCGTGATTTTTTTTTCAATTCGTCAACGAGCGAAGAACAAGATAGTGCCAATATCGTGTACAAGTGCTTCCTTTGTAATGAACAAGGGTCATATACAGCGCGCAACGATATGTTGGCGCATACATAATATTCACTCCTGGCTGGGCATTAGCATCCATTCACAGCTCGGTGTCCCATGGTGACCGATAAAGGATGGTCTCAAAATCCAATGCTAGGCGGTCCAAAAGCTTAGCCTTCAGTACTCTCGGAACACCCATAGAAACGTCTACCGAGCCTTTTCGAGGTCGCCAAGTGCCATCGCATAGCGTAGGGTTCGATTTGAAGGGCCGAAAATAGAACTTCAAACTCCCAGTTGTGAAAAAACTGGAAGAATCAGGAAATCCGAAGTGAGCGTCACACCAATCAATCCTGCCAAGTGAACAGTGAGGATTGTGTGTTTAAGAAAGACCCAGAAAACTCATACGCAACATTAGAGTTGATTGTCATCACGCCAGGGCGCGAAGCAAAGAAGAAAGATTTCCCAGCATTGGCAGTCGTTAGCATGATATCGCTTGCCACAGCCATCCAATCCTCGAGGAACATCCGGTCACGGCAACGATCGATCGATTCCCGCACGGCAATGGCGATACCTCGCATATGAGATGGCAGGGTTCCGGTCGGGATCTATGGGCGGATGAATAAACACTCGCTGCGTAGAATGTGCCACAGACATTCTGGATAACATTCCCTGCAACATTGCTTGCGATATAGTGAGCTTCAACACGCCGAAACTGCAGCGTCTGGCGGTCAGAAACAATCTGGAATGTTTACAGAAAACCTCACATTAGCGACATTCGTGACCATGCGAATGGGCCTAGGCATAGAACGATTCAACAGAGTGACGATATATGCTGTGAGGCAATCGTGCCACGAAAGATAGCCCTCCCCATTGACACTGAGCATGGAGTGGAGTGCATGAAGATGATGTTCATGAAATCTCCATCTTAGGTTTCTCAGATCCTCGCAGGCATCAGCATATTTGGCCTCGAGCTCATCGAAAGGGTAAGAGGCCCACAGATGAGGCATCAGTGGAAGAACGTCCGAGGACGTAGATGGCTCCGGGGTTCGGTACTGGTGTTTGTCGAAAGTTGGAGGAGAGAAATCTGGCTCGACCCTTTGATAGAACAGGGATAATGTCTGCATGAACCGACAAAGCGCTACCGCATCTCCTGCCATTTCCGACCCTCATGAGAAAATGATTCATAAGTTATGTAAAAGACCTACCGAGAGTGTGGTGCCAGGATACCGCAAGACATGTCCTATCCTTGAACGTTGTTATCTTGAAACGAACCAAAGAAGCACTACCATTGACAATGATAGCATCTGCCGGTAGTTGACTGAGCAAGGGAGAAAGGTCGTCTTGAATGACCCAGTCTCCTTGAATAAAAGAAGTGGACAACTCTTCCTTGCGATCCTCGGCTTCTACAGCCAGTCCGGAATTTGTCAGCTGGATCTGAAGTCTTTGAGTCTCGGCCGGTCATGCAAAGCTCCGTAATACCTACAAACCAACGACCGCCGGTCGTGCACAGTTTCCCCGCAGCATGAGGGTACATCTGCAAAGTGCTTGCCAGGGCGTCGTGAAAACGCTCGATGTCAATGGACCCCTCGAATGCATGGACGTTGTCCACCTAAAAACGTTCCCCTTATTAGAGGGACTGAGAACCAAGCGGCTGAGTGAAACTCACAAAGTGCAGCCATAGGTCGTAACCCGGAAGATCAACGGACTCGCGACCTGCAAGTATGGTAGGCCCCTTGGGAACAACGTACTGAACAACTGGCGGCGACATTATCGAGCCAGGTAAAAAGACAGACCAGTACTTTGGTTGAACAATGACAGTCCAGTAGATATAGCACGCATAACATAACTGGTCAAAAAAATGTCGGCGGTTCCAAAGTTGGATGAAAAATCACCCTCTTGCAAAGAGAATGAATATACGTAATTTGAATACCGAAGGATTGCAGATCCATTGCAGGCCCATCGGCTGAGAGCATCGCGAGAAGGCATACGATAATTGCCTTGATCGACCATTTGCCGAGCCCCTTGGAAAGTTGCGACACGGGCGTCGTATGTCATGCATATATGGCGATGAACACGGCATAGCTCGAAGGATCTTTCGGCCGAGATGGTAATGTTATCAGGGTTCACAATAACTTCCTGACGGAAACCAAAGCAACAAGTAAAAAGATGGTGTTCAACGGGTGTCATTTTCGAAGTGAACTGGTGATGCAAACGACACGATAACGGGCCCCAGATCGGCGGTGAAGGAATGCTATTTGTATATGTAGGTGACTATAGGGTAAAAAACAGCGAGTCAGTACATGCTCAAGAATAGAGGCAACTGAACCATAAGCAAAACTGCACTATGCAAACCAATGGTCATTGCAGGTGCTATGTCAACAGGTCACATCAATATTTGCTGTGATTCTCGAGCACAAGCCATAACAAAGGAAAGTGGATCATCATCAACGTCGAAGCCCGGGTGTGGTAGAATAACAAGATAACCGCACTGCAATACTGGACGATGAGTACTTTATAACACCATACTGTCAATTGATCAGTCGGAAGTGGGTGCCTATATGGTTCATCTTTTCAATGGGTTCCTAACATAGCCAAACAAAACAAACACCCTATTATCAAGATTTATGTTAACCTTCGATGTGACAAGATATATATAATCTTCTACACCCCATCCTTTTTGTACTGCATGTCAACGTGCAACATGTAGTCCATGGAACTCATCCACGCATTCTCTTGGGTGGCTTAGCTCCTGGAAATCCTACATTAAAATTTAGATGGATAGCAAGAAATGAAAACCTTACTGGGTTTGTTTGGCTCAAAATCGTCACCACCGTCAGTTGCAGATGAAGACGTGCCGCTTAATGAGACAGTAGCAGTGTCAGAAGTCTGTCGTCGTAACCGGCGCTTCGGGCGAGGTTGTTCTTTGGAACTTGCTGCAGTGTGTGCAGGTGCCGTCACGGGTGGTGCAGCATTCGAATGTACTGCAGCGCTGACAGCACTCAGTCGCGGTAATCGTATCTTCAACGTTGGAGTAGCAGACTGGGTAGACTGTGTGATTGTGACTGAGGCCTTGGGAGTAATAGGTGTATTGACTTTGTGAGGATTGGAGGTGGGCAATATCGAAGCACTACTCAAGTCAGAAGTATCAGGACCCACAGATCGGATCATGGAATTAGATGCCGGCGTAGGGGCCTGGGCACTTGCCACGAATGCACCCTCATCCTTTGCTGTTTCCGATGGTCTGGCCTTCCGGCGTTGGCGAGTAATCCTCGTGGACTTCCCTTGCTACAAAATTCGGGAGCATACACACGTAAGTGACAGGCCCGAAGAAATCCATAGCACTCACAGCCTCTACTTGCTTCTCGGAGTTATCAGGCAGACGTAAATTGATTTCCTCCGCCTCCTGTTTCACCGTAGTTCGCGCCCTCTTGGGCCGCACCGGAGCCGACTGGTCAAGAGGAGTTTGTACTGACAACTTGGCGGCGGAACCATTCTCAGCCGCAAGGAGAGCGGACTTCATAGGTGCTTTGCGCTGCAAGAACCTTCCTCAGTGACACAAATATGCAGGCGATCAATCAACATACCTTGTTAGTAGACGCTCTCAATGCCTCCACCTGCGGGGGTAAAGGTATCGCAGGTGGTAACTCTGCTTCCGTTTGCGTACTGGAATCAACGAGATTCCTTGAACTACCGATAGGAGCATGTCTCTGCTCTGTTTGTATGGTCAGCATTCGCTGGAAATTGCACAATGCCTATAAACCGTGTTAACCCTGAAATGGTGTGATGATGGAACCCCTCAAACGGTTCTTACCTGAGCAGCATGCAATTCATCTCGTGAGATAAGAGGACCTTCTGGTAATGTGCCAATGCTTTCATCAAAATCGTCCAAAGAGCTCAGGGACGTGAGAGGCGAAGACATCGCGGACACCGGTGGCCTATTCCCGCATTAACGACCGTTACCCATCAATGCTACACACATACCTTTGATCAAGATGCTGATCCTTGCTGATCTTATTCCAGAAATCGAGCATGATCACTTTCTCCGGAACCCTATATCTTCGGCCATTGATAAGGATTTCATCAAGGACTAACTTCTCTGCCATCGAAGTGCCCTGTGGGTGGACGATGTCGATGTTGCCATTATTGAACTGGCGCGGTTTTGTGATGTCTATCATGGGTGGATTTTGTTTGGGAACGCGACGCTTGGGTTGCTGAGAGCACAGTGAATCGTGCAAGCCCAACCAAAGGACTGTGAGAACTTACCAAAACGTGATCTGCGTGGTTGGGACACATCCACTTCTTATTGAACGGAGGCATAGCCACGAGAGGCGGGTCGAGACAATCTAAATGCCAATGAAGACTGCAGTAATCGCAGGACACCATGCTTCTCCAAACTTCGGGAGTGGCACTATGGGAGGACGAGGTTGACCTCCTGGAACGCTTTGATGGTGGAGCAGATACATCAACAACACTGGGAAGGGTAGATGTTCCGCAACGAAAGCAAAGTACAGGGACACCGTTCTTGTCCTTGAGACGGTAAGGTTCACGTTCCTCGAGCTGACCATGGCGGCTACAAGCATTGAGTAACGAATGGAGACATGTGGAATTTCACTCTCACTTCAGGCGAGGTGGTTTGATCTCTGAGCTATCAATGTAACACCCATTGGAACCAGTAGCAACTAGTTCATCGACAATGAGACTATTGACAAAAAACCGGCCATGAAGAGACATACCGTCCTTGAAGAAACCTCTAACATCTTCTGGAAGCTGGAATTCCTTCGGAATGTTTGTCTGTGCTTGATGAATGAGGGGCGACATGAAGGAAGGAGGGGGTTTAATCGGTGGACGCTGTTGTAGCATGGGATGAAATCTTTGTACAAAGTCCTAGCAATGGAACAAACACACCTTCCGAATCGTGCAACCAGGACAAAACCACCTTTCGCCGAGTTCCGGCAAGTCCATGGTTTCCATTGGTGGGTCCAGGCACCAGAGATGAAAGGCTCGTGGACATCCATCACAATATACCAGAGCTCCCAATGACCGACAGGATGAGCAGTGATCCTCGTTCAACTAAACGACACAGCAATGAGGGGTATGATCGTAAGTAAGGGACCAAATGCGCACCAGTGGAAGTGAAGGGTCAGGAGAGAGCGAGTACGTGGTCATTGGCTCCTCCTTTATCTTTACAGAGTGTTTCTCAGTCTCTTTTCCTTTTCCTTTGTCTTTTCTCGGTCTTCCTCTTCCATTTGATACGACTGGAGGAGGCAGCTGGGGCGGCAAGGGTTCATCGAGAGCGGGAGCGGAGGTGGCTCGAGAAATTGAAAGCTCGTCAAAGTCATGGTTTATCAGAAAAGGGTCGGAGTCTTGGAGTGCGGGTATACTGGGCTGGCGAGAAGATGCTTCAGCGACAATGAGATCCGAGGGAGGAATAGCACTGCTATTCAAGTTGCGAGCAGATGCACGTTGAGCCCTCCCATTTGCGGTTCTTTTTTGAGGATAAGCGAACAGCGACGTGGCAAATTTTGAAGGGGGACGAGGGTGGATCGTTTTTGCAGCACAACAGCAGAGATGATTAGCGTTGGAACCAGATGGAATACGATGACTTACCCTTTGTCGACCCTAGCACGTTTGCGCCGTTGCCCTTCAGCATCTGTGGTACTGAGGGCAGTGGAAGCCATTAATCCAGAGTAGGTGGTGCCTGGATCAGATGCTGGGAGATATGACACAAAAGCTCCTGGTTTCTTTGGGTCGCGCTTGTGCGCAGCCTGCTGAACAGACAGCAGGGAAGGTGGACCTGGTAAAATTTCAGTTGAAAGAGACGGATCTGAAAGACCCTCGAGATGAGGTGGTTGCACCACCGGTACTCCAGGTAACATGTACACCGGAACATCCGCCATGGAAGTCATGATTGAAAAGTGAAGAGAAAGTCGGGTTACAGGAAGCCGTCACTGGTTCCGCCTCTGAAAGTGGATTCGAAAGGAGCAGTTAAGGTAATGAGGGGCAATGGTCGCAGCACTCGCTGAGGGTGCTGTGACAGTAGTGGCAAGCGAGATGTGGGACGACGACATCAACATCGCACTCAACCACAATTTTTCACGAAACTACAGCACAACGTTTGTCCGTCGATACAACTACTACTCAATTCACAACGTTCACTCATTCAGGCGTGCTTCTTTGGCTTCCCGTACCCAACATTGCTCCAGATAAAACTAGATGAGAAGATGTTTCAAGAAAACAAGACAGGGAGACTGCTCCGCTAGCCTCATAGTAATATTTGGTCATATCAGTGCATCGTGGATACGCAATATAAGTCGTTCTGGACGAACCCATCGATAATAACCTCGGCGCAGGAGGAAAATTAGCCCGCCTCCTCCAAAGATCATTGCGTGGGATAAATAAGCAAACAGGAACTACCGGGAGTATAACCGCTTGAAACGAAAAGAGCTCCCGAAAGTGATATTCAAAAACGATGATGCTTATCGGTAAATCAATGCCGGAAGGAATGACGAACTGTGCGTAAGAAAGTAGACCTCGTCTATACGATAGAACGATGCTGATCTTGCTGGTCTTGCTGATCTTCAGCGTCAACCTTGCTGGGAATGTCGCTATGGACGGTAGCGCGCCGGGTGACCGACTGTCCATGCATTTTCTTATCTCTCGAGGCATGTCTTCTATGAGTACGGGAGCGTCGGTGGGCTTCCCACTGAGAGCCAGCTTCGACCATGAAGGGCTGTGATGGATCAAGGGTACATGCAGGGCACACGACCTTCTTACGCGCCCGCAATATTTCTGTAGGACTACCAAGTTGTTGGCTAAAATATTGAGGATGCCAAAACAGGATGGAAATACCTCGTAGGTTTGACGTCGATCGTTAGCATCTCCCGCGCTCTTTCAGACAACGATAGGGGATCGAGTAATGTCTCATTGCCGAGGAAAGCTGTCAGGATCTATCAGTGCAAGCGCGAGGTAGACAGAGAGTATATACCTTCAGTGATACGTTCACCTTGGTTGAGAACACAAGATGTCCACTGGTCGCCGAGTTCTGCCGGGAATAAATCACCCCACCTGAGATTTGATATGCAAAGATAGTAAACTTACCAGTGGCGTCTAGAAGGTAAACAGGGAGGAGGGCTGCCGCATGATCACTACCGCCATTCGCGCTATAGATAGCAGGAAGAAGCTTGTTCTTTAACCACCGTATCTGACGCTTAGCGTATTGCCTCGTTCCGTACTTCATTTGCTCCACGGCGGACGCAAAAAGCTTCTCGGAGGGCTCTGGAGAAGCGAGATAATCGTGAAACTCTTTGTATCCTAGGTGTTGTAAGTTGGTGTTGTAAAAAAAAGTTGACAAAATTCACCAATAGACTGATATATACCGACAGTATAATCAGTCTGCTTTGCAGCTGATTCGTCGGACGGTCCTGTGACCACTGCAGGTTTTTTTTCCACTGCATCAGGCGAACTGCGTGCGGGGGAGGAAGCGATCGCTCGGAGTTCTTTGATTTCATTCAACAGCCCTTCCTGAACGAGCCTGTTAGTATGCAGTCGACCGATTAAGACCTTATTGACCTTGATCATATCATCTACCCTTGCGTCCAAGCGCTCGTTCAAGATAGAAGGCTCGGCATATACCCAGAAACACAGAGTTCGATACCTACGCTACTTTGGTGAAAATACCACACCACTAATAGGAGAATTCAAACCTTGGAATCAACGCAGTTTTAGACTGCTCGATGATAATTTCGCTCGGGGCCTTCCCAGTGTCTTTGATTACACGAAGGCTTCCCATGACTTTGCGTGTATCTCTCCAATGCCATCGCTGAGCAACTGGTTCGTCGAGCGCAGTGAGAAGGTTGTGCAGCAACAGCGCATCCTGAGGGTGAGATGCTGCAGATGGAGGATGCTCTGGAAGCGCATTGAATAGCTCAAGGAGTTCGGGAGGTAAGTTGGCAATGGACTGTGCGACAGAATCAGATAAAGATTGCCCTGGAGTGGGCAACCGATTCGGAAATATGAGATGTTGGATCCAATAGGATGTACCGCCAACAATAATCGGAATCATATCCATGCGGTGCGTCTCGTCGATCTGCAATCAAGTTGAGAGTAAAGCGACAGGGAAGACAAGCAGAGCATTTACCGCCTTGATAGCGTCTTGGACCCATTGGCCCACTACGTACTGCTCCCCAGGCTGCTTGAAGTCCATGAGAAGGTGCTCGACTCCCATTCTTTCCGCGACTGGGACTTTGTTCGTGATCACGTCCATTCCGGTGTATACTTGCATAGAGTCAGCGTTGATGATCCTCGCGCCTTTCCACCCGTGCATTCCCTGAGCAAGCTTCAGAGCCAGCTCGATGGACAGTTTGGACTTTCCGACGCCCGTAGTCCCACAAATCGTGATTATTGGTTTGAGAGTTGACATTTCTGAGGCAGAAGCGGGAGATCTCCAGCGTCGAAGGCTGTTATCTATCGTGTGTCAGCCGAATATAAGCCATAATGCAAGCTTACGTGGCAAAGCCAGCTACCATCATTTTTCTAATGTTGTTGGCAAAATTCGGCAATTTTGCAAACCGGACTAGTGGTAAAACTGGTTGTGCCTGGTTTGCGGCAGAACTTGCACTGGAGTCTGGCAGAACTCCAGGGTATCCAAAACTCGCGGAGATGTAATTCAGACCTGATAAGACAGTTTGAATTTGGTTTGGATTGCATAGAACATGAAAACCGACGTCCCTAAAGTAAGATGGCGCATGCTGGAAGACGCCCCCTCGCATCACTGATCGAGAATAGTATTTTGAACGCCTGTGACGAGTTGAGATCAGCCTAAACCGCTACTTCTGGAAATGCAAATATTCACCGCGTGCAAGGCCTGTGTAGCACGGCCGATTCAAGAGATATGTTGTGTTAAGGCACGTTGGCCACTGCGCCCGCCAGCAAAGTGTAACGCTTATATAAGCCACAAACCCCTAAATGGACGATTTTCTTGAAAACCAATGAAGTTCGACTGATTTAAGAAGTTTTTTTTAGTAAAAAATGTAGACTACGCTAAAGTATCCTATCTGCACCTGGCTGTGACCTGCTCTCAAGGCGTGATTTGAGCGTTAATATGCTTCTCCGCTCCTAGACGGCGATCTGATCGATATGGGGATACCTTGAGATCTTGAGAACCGGATCAAGCAGCTTAGGCGTGAGTTTGTTTTGATCCCCGACCAATTCTGCCAGTTGTAATTGGCAAAACTCTAGGCGCAGACTAGTACGACATTCCTAACGATCATCGTCATGACATTCGTCCGCCTCTGTCATCCGATCAGAGAATGTGCGCGCTACTTCGTCTGCATGCCCTACAATTGAGAGGCCTAGTAGGATTGTCACAGCAAAGACCTCGAGTGGGTCACCGGATTTGATTGGAAGGTTTTTCCACCAAGAAAAGCTGTCCGCCTACTAACTGCCAGCGAATGTAACTTGCTTATCATAAACCTGCAGGTCATCTGAGATTTTTTTCAATCTCACCTGCAGCCAAAAGCCAACACAGTAGTCCTGTTCGCAACTTCGCTTAGTCAACTGGAACATCTTCTTGGCGCAGCGAAGAAGTTCTAGCATGCAGTCAGCCAGCGAGGCTGACTCAACCATGTCAGTCTTGAGTACCCTCCAGTTCCGCCAGGCTCTGCCACCTTCCTTTCGCGTGAGTTCTGTCGAGGCACCACCACTTTTGTCAAACCGGTTGGCAAAATTCCAACAACTTGAACAGCTGAGTGTGGAAGCCTTCAATTGGCTGTTGAATACCAATTCCCGTGCGTCAGTCAGCACGTATGCAAAGCTGTGCCCATTAAACTCACATGCCTTTGTTCACAACTACTAGGTTCTAGGTGTGTACATCACTGTGCAATGTCCCTTAAATCAGACTCTGATCATCCCGATTATGCGTGTGGTGCCAATTTGGGCTCAGAACAGGCTGTCGCCAGACCTGGCAGATTGGTATTAGCGAGGGACGAGGAACGGGCTGCGAAATGCAGTTTGACGTTTGGCTTCATTTGTGGAACAGCGAGGTGGGCCTTTTTCATTCGCAGGATTATGCTATTGGAAGCATGATTCAGATCAGACTTATCTTGAACGATTCGGGTCCTTCTGCGGCCTGCCTCGTCATCAATCTCCAGAACTTTTCCCAATCTATGAAAAGTCGATTCCATCTTTCATATCTCTCTCAGGACCGGTTTCTGCGAGCGCCATTGTTCCTGCTGGTTTGTGTAAATGTCTTAGACTCATTTGTGACCTCATGCCGTTCGTTCGGACATTTGCATGAAGGCGCTCGTCATCTCGATGTGTCAGTCTGTCAAGGCAGGTACCCAGCTCCCTGTCCATTCTACCTTTCGTTCGAAGGAGGACGGAGTCCTCAGGTATGTGTATCATTTTCAGGTTAGATCCTTCAGTTAATGTGCGCTGTCATTGCGTCTTAGCAGAATCAGCCAATGTTTTGACCACATTTATTGGCATTCGACCAGAAGTGTATGCCCTCGTTGGCAAAGCTGCATCTGAGTAGCAAAATTTAGGACTCTTACCCAAACGAGCCAAGCTGATACAGTTGCCAATGCTTCACTTGATGCAACCTGGTGTGAGTGTTTGTGAAAGCTGTCCGTCGTACGAACTGATATTTTGCAGACGAGAAGTGGTAGTTCGCGAGACACCTCAAAGCAAATATCACGCTCATCTTGCAGGCGAAATACAAGGAGGCGATCTGGAATGCAGATTCAAATATCAGATACTGGTCAGATTATAGTCACGTTTTCCTCGATCGAGAATCTATACAGACCATCCCTGACGCACTGTAAAGTGCTGAGGCTGTGTGGAGTGTTGGTTAAAATCTCTTCAGGTGATATAATGAGGTACTTGCTCTTTCTCCCCGTCTTCGCAATGATTGCTGACCACTCAAATCTGCGGAAATGTTCTCGATTGGGACAACTGGGACGCACAGTCGCCCTACCTTTTCCTGCGACAGAGGCAACGTTCACCGATCTGTACTGCAACTTCTTGACTGGTTTGTCAAATAAGGCGAGGATCATGTTGATCAAGGCATCACACGAACCGTGACGAAGAAATATGTGATTCTAGGACAGCATACAGTTTTTACGAGGGGAAACGTAATTCGAGGGTTAAGTGCTGGATCAAGACCTGGCAGCATTCGGTGCATCCGGCTCGCTCGATCGTATGGTGTGCATCCTAACTCATTCATGTCATGGGGTCAGTATCCATGCACCTGCTTATCCCGTGCCTACATCTTTTCCATCCATATTCTAGCACAGTCGACGAGGGTAACTTCGTCGCTCGTCACAACACCTTCTACACCGATCCCGCTTACCGGTGGACTGGCGCGGCTGACAATGTGCTTGCCTCTGGCAGACGGAAGCTCGTGTCACAGACTCACAGGCCTCAACCTAACGATGAATGCTACATACGACAACGCCCGAAGGCTCTACTCCTACTGACCAAGCTGCGCAAAGGGTGGCAAACACCCGGTCAAGCATGGGATACCTGGGCGTAACAGGTCCTGACACAAGTTGTCGGAGTCGGGGACTCGGCGCGCAAGCACCGTTACGATCGAGCACCAGCGCGCGCGACGCGGATGATACTGCGCAAGCAAGCAGTCCTGTCCTGACTCCTCGGACACTTTGAATGCAGCGCGGGTCCCTTCTAGTGCGTGAGTCGTCTCCTCAAGGGTCACAACATGATTTTCCTGTGATGTAGCTGGGCGTGACTTGAGGACCTTGACTGGGGCCGCCGCACCGGTCCAATCCTTGACAACCATAATGACATTGTCATTAATTGCAATATCCGAGTCATCCGCGGGGCTCACTCACACCCAATATCCGACACTCAGTTTGTACCGCGCGGACTTCAATTCCATCATTCTCTGGACGTCTATATTGCAAGGATTCTACGTAAATCGGTTCATTGATCACCATGCAGTTATATATCAGTGTCGCCTCAATGTTTGCATTTCCAGTAGTAACGATTTGAGCTGATGTCAACTCGCTCCAGACGTTCGAAATTGTCGTTGATCAGTTACTCGGACGCGAGGGGGCGTGCTTAGCAGGGACGTCGGTTTTCATATTCTATTGAATTAAACCTAATTCAAATTGTGTTGTCATATCTAAATTACATCTTCGCGAGTTTCGGATACCCGGTCCACGGCAGAACTCACGCAAAGGAAAGGTACCAGTGGTACGGAACACCTGGAAAAACTCCACCCGAGTCCTGCCAACAACACTAGAACTTCAAAAATGATGATAGCGGGCTTTGCTACACATATTCGGCTGACACACTATAGACAGTAATGGCCTTCGACGCCCGAGATCTGCTGTCGACTCTCAGGCCAATATAACCACGATTTGTGGGACTACGGGCGTCGGAAAGTCCAAGCTGTCTGTCGAGCTGGCTCTGAAGCTTGCTCAGGGAATGCAGGGTGGAGACGCGAGGATCATCAACCGTGACGCTGACTCCATGCAAGTATGCACTGGAATGGACGTGATCACGAACAAAGTCCCAGTCCCGGAAAGAATGGGAGTCGAACACCTTCTCATGGACTTCAAGCAACCTGGAGAGCAGTACGTTGTGGGCCAATTGGGTCCAAGAAGGCGGTAAATGGTCTGCTTATCCTCCCCTATCGCTTTGCTCTCAACTTGATTGCAGATCGACGAGACGCACCGCATGGACATGATTGCGATTATTGTTGGCGGTGCTACATCCTATTGGATCCAATATCTCATATTTCCCAATCGGTTGTCCACTCAATCTATATCGGGTTGCTGTGTGATTGTTTACCCATCCATCCGTGCAAAAACGCGGACCCACTTCGAGGGTATGGGTGCAGGTAGTAGTGCTGACACCCAGGAGTTTATCCGTGCAGTTGCCTAATTAGACATGATCACAGCGGATTATGCCTCCTTTCCCGGCCCCACTTATCATGGGAGTCAGGACAAGTAAAAACGGTGTTAAGAGTCTCCTAGAAGCTCTTGCCATCTTTAATAACGCACGTAACGAAAGCGGCTTCGAAAATTGCCTGGCTTTCCATAGTAGACTATTGATAACGGCGTCAGCGCAATGTTTTAAAGGCATGTTCTGCACAAAACTCATTATTACTCAAGGTCACTAATTTCACTGCCCCGCAAATTGCCCATTCTCTGCTCGCCGACTCGGAGTGTATCCAGAAGAGGAGGAGCACGTAAGGTGGTGGCGATCAGATGCCATAAACGTCGCAAAAATGAGCTTGCGATCATGGCCCCACACAACTTTAGCTTTAAACACGAGTTGAGTGTCGAGTACTTGAGTGAAGAAGCATCAATCAGTTGCTCAAATAACAAATGATCGTGTAACGAACGTTATGAAACGAGCTCCGCAGTGCACGAGGAGCGGAGAAATGATGCAAGATGGCATCAAGGGCGGCTGATTTCATGTCATCGTACAGTCTTCCGGACAAAAGTGCAAGCGGTCTCCTTCACAATCACCAAATGCAGACGCTGCATACAATTTGTGGAGTAGTCCGAGGAATGGTGGACCCACAGAAGATCATCGCGTTGTAACACAGCCGCACAATAAGCAGCAGAGGGCATGTGAACAAGTGAGAGAGGGAAATAGCGACTAAAGACAGTGCAATGTTGTATCTTTCAAATTCGAAGTGTGGGCGTCCAAACACCTGTACCTGCCCGTCAACATTAATGCAAAGACAGGAACCATCAAACGTAACAATGGCACGGCATTCAATTGAACCGCAACGTACACAGGAAGCGGGGTGCAAACACAACGTGGACTGGAGCAGAAAGTGGTCGCGGTTGCGTAGACATGTGGATGCAATTCGGGACAATAAATATGAATCAATAGCATGGTCAACGGCATGAGGAGGGCATTAAGCCTCATCGAGCACGCGGGACATAACAGACGCGCGCCGCTTGTGCAGAAATATCCATTTCGAACTGCGAATGGCAAGACTCAGCAAAGTACCCAAGATGCACAAGTGTAATAACCGCGGGCCAAGAATTGGGCACTACGAACGCAGAAAAGCAAAGAGAAATGTCGACAAAAGTCGAAGCCTGTGGGAGGACGAATAAACGAAAAGAACATGAACATGAAGGTATAACCACAGGGCAAATGTCTCATGCATGCCATAAGCATGCACGTGGGAGCCAGGGAATTTTCGAGAGACAACCACTGCTTAGACTTCTACTTTTAGCGGACATGTCGTCTGTATTCCGCTCAAGGACGGCTCGAATAACACTTTCGAATCTTTCGCCCGGACCAAACTCACAGCACGCGGTTGGCATTGTCATCGTTTCTGATTCGACATTTTCTAATGCCTTATTCGGCAGCAAAAACGCCTTGGTAGAGGTCAAGGCTCTGGTCGCGGAGGAACGTCCGGACGAGGTCACAAGGGCCAGAAGGCTCGCGCAGGTAATGGCAAACCGAAAGCTGGATTCGAGGGTGGTCAGACACCGATTACGAAGAGGTTCCCGAAGAAAGGCTTTGTAAATCCGTGAGTGCTCTCTATTCTAACTAGTTTTATAACCATCTGACAGGTCCGTTAAGCAACCGGAAGGTGTACGCGCCCATTAACCTGGACCGGATACAGTATTGGATCGACCAAGGTCGACTACAATCATCGCCTGAGAACCCTATCACAGCCCGCGAATTGCTGTTGAGCGGATGCATTCATAATGTACACGATGGAATTAAACTTCTGGGCGACGTATGTTTCTATTCTCGGACATCGTTCTAGTACAACTCACCGTTACGTAGAATGCTCCATTTTTGAAAACGCCCATTCATATTGCTCCTTCCCGTGCATCTCAAAGTGCCATCAAAGCGGTCGAGTCCGTTGGAGGAAGTGTCTTCTGCCAATACTACAACCCATTGGCTCTTCGTGATTGTGTCAAAGGCCGTGCAGATCGTATTTCAGCAGCACCAACTCGTCGCACGGACATTTGTGAGTCTCTCCCTCCCTTGACTTTGATTATTTCTGAAAGTTATGTCTTCAAGTGTGGTACACTAACTGGCGCAACCGAGGATATCTTTCTCCTGAAGCTATTGTGAAAAACCCAAAAGTGGAGGAGCGATGGAAGGAACTGTCTAAGCAGTTGCTCTCTTTCAAGGACCAGACTTTCGATACTAAGGGCCTCAAAAAGGTGTAGATATGCTAGGTAGACTATAATACATTCATGGGTTCGATGTTCATCCTATCTGGAGACATACTTCCACTGCGAGAACGGTCGGGCGAACGAGATGGAGAACGAGAAGGACTTCGTGATACGTATCGACCGTTCTCTGACGGAGATCGACTTCTGCTCCGACTAACGCTGGGGCTCCGTGACCGGTATGGGCTCTTACTGGGGCTCCTACTCCTACTTCGACTGGAACTACGACTCCTGTCACTACCATGTTCACTCTTGCCTTCCATAGCATCAAGCAAGCGACTCTTCCGAGGGCCAATCTCGCCGTTCTCTTCAAGTATCGAGCGCTTGGCTTTACGGGGAAGAATGATGTCACAGACTCGTTCCTCAGTGAGGAGCGAATATATGAATTCATCAAAATGAGTTAGTGAATACCCTGCTGTCAGGGTGTAAGACGCATACCAACGAAAAAAAAATGAAGATCGACATACCCATGTCGCGGTATCGAAGCTTTCTAAAGTCCTTCATTAATGGTTCAAGAAGCTCGTACACTTCCACTGCACTGAAGGTCATTCGTATGTACATGGCGGCTAATGCCCTCATATATCTAGGCACATCCATCAGCAATCAGCAGGCGGCACATATGATAATGCTCACTTGAACTCGTCTGCCTGTAGATATTCTATCAATATCTCCTTTTCCGGTTGGAGTTGGAGCAATTTCAGGAGCAAGCACAGGAACTCTGTAGGGCGTTGATTGCCATAAAACACCCCCAATGCACCTAAGCGCTATAGCCTGGTCAATAAGAGACTCCGCTATATTGAAAAGGGTGAGTTGGACGTCTTAGAAAACGTGGCAGACACACCAGTCAAAGCGAAGCAATGCTCCTTCCAATAATTTGATTCCCATATTCGATTGCGGATAACGGTCTCGACTAGAAACTATGCTATTGTCAGCTATCATCAAAACGTGTACCGCAAATACTCGCCTGAGGGTTTTGGCCATGGATGGCAATTGCACCCTTGACAGTGGTATTGGCCATGATGGTGGTCGGTTGCCAGAGTATGTAACCACTTCTTGATTCACGGAATCTAACTTATGTAAAGTGCTACATAAAGTTCAGTGCAAAAAAAAAGAGAACATAGTCTTTACGTAAGTGTATGTAAGTGCTTTTGTTGTCGCCATCTTTCTGCCATTCACCTTATGTTTTCCTTATGTCTTCCACGTGCCCGATTATCAATTGGACACATTTCTGTACTTGCCAGGCTCCGCCTTCGATATTTAAAAATCTGGTGGCCATTGGAAGGATAGCCTCAACGGATAGTCGTATAATTCATTCCATCCTGGCGACTGGCCCCGCGCCAGGATAACGTGCCAGTCACTGGTTACGTGCCACCACGAAGGATCAACCCCTGATGCTACTAGCACCTGTCCAATCAGTGATCATAGTGAATTGTATCGTGCTCATTTCCCGCTTAAAACGCCGCGAATAAGGGCGAAGCTTATCACCACGTTTACTCAATGACCTATCGACCCCACATATATCATTGCCCCGAATGGTGTTTTACTCTTCAAAATTCTTCTACTCGGATATTGCGCCTTTTCGGGTACTTTCATACCGCTTGCCATGGACCAACGATGGCCCTTAGACGTCTCAAACTCTCCTGCCCAAGCGCACCTTCACCCAGTCACTGGTTACTGCCATTTTTCAATCAGTTTCTGGACTAGAATTTACATCGATTGTGTCACAGCTACCCTCATCTATATGGCCATCTCCATTCCGATCTCGATACGGAAACTTGCGCCATGATTGGCGATTGAACTTTGCGAGTCACTTCTTAGTTGGCAGGTCGGCGCCTGATGGTGCTTCTCTGGTAACAGTGCCATCTTCGCATATAAATTGACAAATTACAGTCTCCTTACTTTCTATATTCCTTGTCTGACTGCAAACATGCGCGGCAAACTGCTGACCATTCCCACATCAGCATGTCCTAGAGAGCCATCGGTTTTCTCCCATTCTACTGATGACGCTGAACCCCCTCTCAATAAATCGGATGAAACAAGGCAAATTCTAAACTAGTCAGTGATTTTTACGTGGTCCGCTGTTGTTCTTACAAGTTCTTATTTTTAGTGCAAACTTCGAAATTGCCACTGCCCTTATGTCTCCAGCACACTTCCGTCGAATTGTGACCGCGCCAGTGTATAATGGTATTTTTTGTAAGCTACCCTATATCTGACGGCGTCAAATTACCAGGCATGGAAGAACTTCTGATACAAGCTATGTGCGCTGCGGCCGTTCTGCTGTGAGTGATCAGCACTTGACTTCGCTGTGCCGCGACCTAATACGCTCCTGCTATGATGTAGGAACCCCACAGCCGAAAGGCGTTGCAAGTCGCTCCAGAGCAAGCTCTTGCGGATCCTTGCACCCCGCGATCCCTGCACCCCGTCGCCCAACAGGTTATCTCGGTGCCCTCGGCTGATCCAACCTTCCATCTTATGTTGGATACACCGGTGGGTGTGTCGACAGGAGATCGTTGCGGGTGGTCACAGGCGAACTGGCCCCTGCAATGATGTCGTGTCTGCTGACACCCTCGTCGTTCATATGCGCAAGCATGTTGGAGGAACCTCACATCGTCGTGTTTACTGCTCCTGGAATGGATGTGGCAAGCTCATGAGGAGAGATTGTCTTGTCCGCCACATACGCGAAATTCATCTGTATAGCAAACGCCGCGCTCACGACTAAATTTTCTATATCTCAACTTACCCATTTTTGTATCGACATCTTTGCTGACATATCGTGTTCACTATGCCGTTTTAGCGTGATAAGGACTATAATATACTCACTCAGGCTCAGCGCTCGGCGCTCAACGTTCAGCTGGGAAGATAGACCTACCGGTTCATCCCGTGACTTGAGGACGGAATACATGATTTTGGCTCGTTATTCTGTTTCAAATTAGAACTATTCCATTATCTCGTGGATATGTACTACATTATCAAAATGGTCTACTCAGAATCCTTATTTTTGGCCAATTGAATGATGAGGAGGCATTTTCGTAGTAAATTCACCCTTGTGACCTATTTGTGACTGATGCTAACGCGTGGTGCAACATAATGCCTTCTCGTCTCCAGTTCTCTAAGTTAGATGATAAAATACATGCCCAGCTTGCTGCAGAATATCTGCACATATATAATGATGGAACAGATTTCACTCGCGTTTTAATTTGTGTACAATGAGTTATATGCAATTCTGTTGAAATGTCACGCTAGGTCACGTGATGAACCGGTGTCTACATATAGACGCGCGCTTGGCCTATTTCCCGATGCGGTTGTGCGGCCGTGCACATAAATAGAACTTCTTCTCCATGCTTCGGAATCGAAGGTTTACCTGAAGCGACTAACCTTTTAGATTCTGTACTGTGCCGAGTTGGTTGACGCAATTGCCCCACGGATATTCATGGCTGACGAAACATGCACCACACGCACACAATCCGTTGCCATGGATAGTTTCAGCGTCTTCACCTTTATGCCGAACCGATCCCATGTGCCCCGGCACCACCGTGACCGGTTAACTCATCAGCGCGCACTCTCATCCATCATTAGCACACGCAGCCATTTCTTCCCTGAGGCCGAGACCCGAGCCCTCACTTGATTCATATAAAAGCTTGCGTTTGACCTATTTGTCGCTGTTACCTGCTAGACCCCCAGCTTACCCTGCACCCTGTTCATGCGATGGTCTCTGAAGAAGGTACCCGACATGTGCGAAATTCTCCTCGCATCGCAGTTGAAGTTGGAAGCCCAGTCGTCACTTTCTATAACGAAATCAAGACAGACATTGAACATGCTGCTGTGGAAGATGATCCTTTCAGATGGTGCAATGCACGCAAGGTAGGTGGCAGTCACTCACTTTGAAAGAAGGCTCACTCGTTCGCCGTAGACTACTATTTTAATTATTGTTTCAGCTGGCTCCATGATCGCAGGGTTAGCTGTCAGCATACAGAACCGTATGGCTGTTCTCTTCCTGGGTGGTCAGAAGACTGAAATAAATTGTGCCCAGCTGCAAATGCCCACATTCAGCGTGACCTGCGGGCGTCTACATCGGAGATAAGCTGGACGTTATCAGTCTTTATTCTTGTTCAGGGAGTCCCTGGCCTTCTGTGGAGCGTCATCAGCGAAATAAAAGGACGTAAGGTTTGTCGAGCACTCTGTCTTATAACAATAAACTGTTGATATTTTTCCAAGTTTGTCTATGTATCATCTGTAGCACTATTCGTGGCTGCCTCTGCTATCGTCGCCGTGTCCAAAACTATTGGTCTGGTGATTGGAATGAGAGCCCTTCAGGCTGCTGGGTAAGGAATTTATACTGAATCTCAGAGTCACTGCTTACAATAATCAGCTCGAGTGCGCTCCTGTCAATTGCAGCAGCCACACTAGCAGATATCTACGAACCCCATGAACGAGGCACTAAAATGGGCATATATTATTCTGCTCCGCTCCTGGGGCCGGCGTTGGGCCCAGTATTGGGTGGTGTGCTGACACAGGGCTTGGGCTGGCGCTCGATCTTCTGGTTCATCACTATTTGCGCCGGAGTTGTTCTCCTTGCTCTGGTTTTCCTATTTAAAGATACGTTCAGGAAGGAACGTAGTCTGACTTATCAAAATATCCTGCAAATGAGGACAAAGGAAGGGGAGCTACAACACCAACACTTGGACAAATACAGTCATACTTTTTCTGTCTCTGACAAGCCCGCACAACCTGCACTAGAAAACATAGCTTCACCGCCGCAAACGGGGGATCTTAACGTCGAGGCGAATGGTCCTACCGTTGCACCTGCTTCATGTATGAAAGATGTCAAAGTGTCGCTTGCAGATGTCAATCCCTTCCCTCCACTTCTGAAGATTCTTACACGCTTCAATAATCTCGCAATATTATTTGCTTCAGGTAAGTGTTGTTCGAATCGATACTGACCTGACGAGCCATGTATATGTCTAGGTTTGATATTTGCATTCAGCTACAGTATTTCATATACCTGTTCGAGAACGTTATCTGAATACTACCGCTATGACGCTCTCCAAATTGGTCTAGTTCTACTCTCGTATGGAATAGGTAGGACCTTATTTGTTGGATTAACAATGACTGACTGGCGTCGAAGGCTCTATATGCGGGTGCTTACTTGGCGGCCGCTGGTCTGACCAAACATTCGCCAGATTGAAGCAAGAGAATGGAGGCCAAGGCTACGCCGAGGTTGACAACGTTCCTATAACTGTACGACAAGCATCTTGACATAACAATCCAGATGCGATTGGCCAGCACCCGACCCGCCATGTGCTTCTTGCCACCGGCTATAATTGGATATGCCTGGGTTTGCGAAAAGCACGTCCATGTCGCGGCAATCTGTATTATGCTCTGTCTCTCCGGATTCCTCTCGACGTACGTTTACATACGATATGCAAGACCTCGACTGACGTGTACCTAGATGGGTCTACGCAAGCACGCTGGCATACATTGTGGATGCTAACCCAGGCCGTTCGTCGACGGTTGTTGCCACAAATAGCGCATTTCGCTGCGTCTTTGCGTTCATTGCCACTGAAGTGGCTATTCCGATTCAGGTGTGTTCAATTTTTGTTTAGCTGAATTGTATGCAACTTGAATTGTTTGAACTTTTTGTTAGGTTGCCATTGGCGATGGTTATTTGTACACCCTCTGGGGTGGCATTATGATAATAATGGAAATCCTGACACTAGCTGTCCTTTATAAGGGTAAGAAGTGGCGAGAGGCATGCGAGGAGAAAGACTGGCGAAAATCGCAACAACCCTGATTAAGTACGCTGAAAGTGCTTTTGACACTGCTACTCGAGAAATTTGCATCAAGGGCCCAATGTTTATATCTATATAATACTTATCAGACTCGTTTCTTGAAAATTTGTCAACTGAATTATGCTCGTTTAAGTATTCCAGTCAAAATCCGTGACCTGCCAGCTTCCGAGTCCCTGACCGGTGACTGGTCGATGCATGTTGCAGATCACGTGAGGTGCTATCTACACAGCACCTGGGAGTTACGCCTAGCGTTGTCCACGGTTGCCAAGTTCAAGCGAACAGTCAGTTCGTGCTCTCCACTAACGCATATGCACCTCACAATCTCAAACCAGACACAGGACGATCTACATTGTACCTTCAGAGGCGCGAAACAACAAGACCACGTTCTCCTCGTCCGAGCCCATTCCAAGAGCACATCATTCTCCCAGAAATGCTCTCTTCTCAAGGTATCTCGACGTACATGGGATAGTGCGACGAAGGAATATGAGGCGAGTCCTACAAGCCCTGTGTCTGTTACTATGCGTCTCGATGTCGACGCTGCAGCGAGGTGGAAAGTCGTCAAAGTCCCAGCAGATTAGAATGGGTAGTTTATCGCAATAAGGTGAGATAATGGCGTAGACAACACTGGCCCACCTGAATCCATATGATTTTAGTTGTCTCGCAAACATCATTGTTTGCTTATTTTCCCTCGACGAGATACATCCTGTTTCTTGTCTCTCATCCCCGATGCTGTCCCTCTATCATCTTTGATGCTTCCAGGTAAAACTGCTGTTCGTGTTCCCCGTACTCACCTGACCACATGTACCAGGAACTCATGACACGTATGTCTTGAATTATATGTGCGAGTGAAATGCTACTATGACAAGGACGATAGGATGGCTTTTTATGGATGGCCTATTGCCCAGTGTCAATCGCCAAGCACCCCCCTCGAAAGACAACTTCACTCTGGCATTCGAGTTCTCGACATACGCTTAGCCATCGTCGATTCCCACCTCATTTCATACCACGGAATATACCCGGAACGCGCCCTGTTTTCGGAAATCTTATCAACGGTATACACGTTCCTTACAACACCCTCGACCTCGCGCGAGACCATAGTTATGTCAATCAAGCAGGAAGATTCTGATACGCAACGTTTCAGCAAGCTTGTACGGCAAGAGATTGTTGCCTCGCCAGGGGGTTTGGGCATGTGGTATTTAGAAAATAGAATACCAACCCTGGGTGAGGTGAGAGGCAAGGTCGTAATGTTCAGTCGTTTCGGCAGGGATGGTTGTGACTGGGACAGCGCGGGTATTGGAATCCATCCGCCTATCTGGCCTGATAATGACAGACTCGGTTTTACTTGGAACTGTCAAGACACCCTGGTTCAGACTCACGACTGGTATGTATGAACTACTATGAAGATCCTCGGATCGCCTGGCTAATCATGAGCCTGGCTATCACCACAGGTATGCAATCCCCACCTTCCTTTCTATTCCCGAGAAAGTTGCTCTTTCAACCAATATCCTCGTTGATTCCCGTGATTCTTCTTCCCTGACCTTATCGATATCATTCCTTTCTGCATTGTCAGTACCATTAGCGCTCCCTCCCACAATGGCCCGCGGCCTCGGATGGCCCCAATGGGGAATTGGATTTGAAGGTGTCAATGCTCGAGTCGGCAAATGGCTTCTCGATCAGTTCGATGAACGAGAAGAGATTGACGTAGATAGGGAACCGCGGATCAGGGGTTGGGCACTCATGGATTTCTACGAAGACCCGATGGGGCAAAGCGTTGTCCCGCTGCTTGTAGAATGCAATTTCAGAGGGAGACAGTGCGAGGAAGGTTGGGTGTGAGTTGCGGAAGAATAAAATCTTCAAGTCGGACTCCCTTTGGCTCTCTGCAGAAAGAAATATAGCAATTTTCTGTAATAGGTCGCGAGATATGCATCTGGAAGATGCATGATTTGCCCCATGACGATCACCTTCATCCACTAGTCAACTTGCAGTGCTGGACCATGGCAACGCCGTTAGGTCCTGCTAGGATCATCATGTGCTATTGCGGGATTTCACGTTTTCAACGTGTTCACCTCGAGCCAGCTGGCAACTTCGAAGCTGTGCGACTAGCTTTCGGATATGGATAGAATCAACGTTGACATTGACAGCGGTAATTGTGGTTCGGTGATCTCCTACGAGACTTCGACTTTGGTGCCCGGCGCTAGTTATGACAGCTTCGTACTAACGACCACGGGCTCGCCTCGTGCTCTACAGTGCCCACGCCGTCAGGACTCAGATAGCCGATGATGATCTAGGGTATGATACGGGCGAGGCTTACCCGGGCACCCGCGGGCGAATCAGGTCATGAGTGGTCCGGGTTACAGGAACGATGACCTTAAAAAATTGGGTACCTCAGACATGTAGGAGACTCAACTGTGGCAGTGCTACGTTGATCGTTACCAATAACATATTATTGATTCGAACCTTTCTAAATTCTACGCAACCAATCATATAATACTGTCTCGGAGCTATCATGCAGATTGCTTACCGTCTCCAGCGCCCACGTAGGGCGCAGAGGTGGAATTGAATTGGTATTGTGACCATTGGCGATCAGCTTCCCGCGACTTGCGCTTGAATCTATCAAATTCCCTGTTGGCAGAATCTGGTCTCGTGAAAAAACGCACTGCTAATTATGAGACAACGAGGGTGAGACAGACACGTCAAGTCGGAGTGTGATCACGACAGCAAAGCCGTTAAATGAAACACAACCTCATCCAACACTCCAGGGACGCATCTTCACGTCTCTTCACGTGCACCAAGAAGATCTTGAATAATAATAATACATGACAAAAAAACACACTGATGATCGAGAGGTCCAAGGCACGTTGAGACAATGAAAGAATCCTCTAAACGTGGCCGCGTACCTCCGCGATATTTTGTCTATACAGTCAACGACTGCTCGCGGAGGTCCGTCAATACCAAAGGTACCGGTAATGGTTGATCAAGCTAAGCTGCAATTTCACCAGCAATATTGAGGAATTACTAGGTCACTAGTAGTTCCAAATTACGGTTAAACAGCATTAGCACAAATTGAATATTGAGTGCTTGATATTACGTCCAATCGTAGATCCCGATCGACCGTCGGAAGTTGAAACTTTATTACCGATATGTTTTATTTCTGCAAACAACTTTAACATGAAATCGCGAGACTTGCAAATATCGCGAGTAGCAACACAGCTGGCATCGATTCCTTAAAGTCGGACTGTGACACCATACCATCGACCGATGACTTCTTGAGCTCGACTCATTGCCCGGTCCGCTCGTAAGCGTTTTGTGACAGCAGTCTCGTCGGCTCCCGTATTAGAATCTCCCACCAAAAAAAACATCGAACAAGGGCCGAGGGCCCTAGTGTTGTGAACAAAGATCTGCCATCCTGCCACGTGGCAGAAACGCCATTTGCCTCGAGTTTGCTGTACGTGCATTTACTTAAAGACTCGTTCGAAGTGCAGAACATGCATAATTCTTTCAGTCCCAAATCCCCCTCTCGAAAATCAGCAATTCTTTCAAAGTCGGTCATGGTTGCACCCTCCAATTCTTCGGCCGTGGCAGTTTATTGTGCTGCGTCACTCGGGAAGCAGAATGCTTTCCAGTTGGCTGCGCTATGTATGTCTTCTTGATTCAATCTCGTGACTGCTCTCACGTGTCTTGTGTCGTATTTTTCACAGCATTGGGCCATGCTCTGGCTGAGGCAAAAAGACCCCTTGTCTATGGCGGTGGTAACATGGGCCTCATGGGCGTTGTATCAGGTGCCGTCGCAGATGAGGGCGGCCAAGTTACTGGCATTATTCCATATGCCATCCATGCCGCAGGCGGCGAAAAAGATAAGGGCAATGGTATTGCAAAGACTGAATCTGTTGCTGAAGTCCTCGATGAGGACCGGCGAGTACATGTACGCGATTCCGTCAATGATGACAATACAGACCTGACTCACCAACGCGCACTTTCAATAGATAGAGACGGTAAGTAATAGCCCGCACGCGTACACCGCATTGTCTGATTGATTTCCGTCTGTTTTCATTGTGATTCGTTCTTACATTAAGATTATTGTCGATTCGATGCATGAGCGCAAGATCGAGATGGCGAAGCGTGTTGGTGCTTTTGTGGGGTTGCCAGGAGGATACGGCACTTTTGAAGAGGTAATACATGAGGCTTGCTCGCTCAACCTAACTCGTGCTCACCGTATCATGCCCCCAGATTCTTGAAGTTATAACTTGGAACCAACTCAACATTCACAACAAACGTAAACATATTTCATTGCTTTGATGACGTTATGTTGACCAACCAAAACCATACTTTGCAGCCGTAATATTACTCAATGTTCTGTCCTACTACAACCCCCTTCGTGAACTTATCCGGAATGGTGTGCGGGAGGGGTTTATCCAGCCGCACAACGAGAAGCTATGTGTTTTCGTCGACGGACCTACGGACCATAAAGATCATGAATCTTTCAACTGGGGGCAGGCCGCGCTGGATGCAATTGCTGCATGGCAACACGACCAAGTACGGACATTGCCCTTCCACTGGACGAAGGACATCGACTCCAGTGCAATGCCCAATGGCAAAGCTAACATCAAAGATATGGACGGAATTTTCGGTGGATTACTCAGCCTACGAAGTGTCAACGCGTGGTTGAAGAGGGTCTGGCATGCTCACTCCCGTTCATGTTGATCATGGCGTAGGTTGGCAGACTTGCACGTATTCGTTATCATATTTACCGCCGTTAATGCCCAGGACTCTAGCATACATTCTTTACATAGAATTTCACTTGTACAAGTAGTTCCGAGTCGCGGCGTCTGTGATTGCTTGCCGAGGTTTTTCTTGCTCGATTCAGTATGACTACGTCGGTTATTAATTACTCGTGCCCGATAGGTCATTTCACAGCCAAGTCCAGTACTGCCAGTCCGCGATTGGTATACCACTGACTAAACAGACAGACAAGTTATTTAATGATACATACAACGCAATTGCCAAAAGTTAGTTATGTAGTTGCCTGAGAATGTTAACCTGATCGTTTTTGCACTCAATATAAATGAATTATGTGTCCCGCCCTTGCCAGCACTCGGGCGAACGTTTGTGCGCTCGCCCGGGACCACCTCCCTTGTCGTTCACCAGGTCGACCAGTTCACGGTTCATGTGAATCGTGTCAGCTCCTCATGGACAATGACTAGGTACTGGGTCCGATGCCATTATCAACCCAGACTTGCTTGCGTTGTCCGACATCACAGCCCACCATCACCAAAACCCACCAGACTTGGCTAATTCAAATATTCAACCCCCAAACGTGCATGAAGCGGTGAGTGCCCTCATTAACTCAAGCCAGCAGGGGGACCTGGGCCCATACAAAGTCCTCACTCTTCCCGCCAGCGAGGCGAATTTGATATTTTTTACATATTTCATCATGTACGTACACTAACAACCTATTTTACTCAGGGAATCCCCCATACATTGTGCCATCGCATGCCAGAGGCAGTGGTATTACAAGGTCAGGACTTGATTCGTCGTGATTGATGAAGTGCATGCACCGACACCGACACTCCCTCCTGCAACAAAACTCACCGTGAAGCAGCTGCAAGCGCCGTGCCGTGAGCATGACTTGAATTTGCGTTGATCGAGCGCCTCGCTGCTGCAGTGTCTCCAAGGTACGTTAGGTGTGTTTTCACCCTTGTTTTTATCGTTCTAACCGATTTTGGCATCCCGTCCGCAGCACCGTGCCTTCTGCCATCACACTTACCACCCTAGCAGCCAGTTCACTACCCTTAGTGCTGCGAGTTCCAGCGTGCTGGCAGGCCACGCGCTCACCCACCCATAAACATATCCCCCAGGATCCGGAAATGATGTAGATCCGCTTGCTTCGCGTGATGCCAAGCTAGCTGGTTCGATCCTTCTAAGATGCTTACAACGGAAGTAACGGAAGCATCGCAGATGACGACATGGACAATAAATCAAACACAGCCGGAAATGTTCAGCAGTACGAGGAACTGGTGATGCAAGCAAGCGGTAGGCTTCCACGTGTGTATACTCTGCCATTGATGCTTGCTCATCATGTCTCGTACTACTAACAGGCCCGTGTTTGGTGGCCATCGATTATGCTAAAGTTTGGGTGAATTGCACGCCCTTCTGAGCTTCATGTTTTGGCTGATGATGGGTCACGAGGTAGATGAATTCATCATGAGCGCTCGACGAAAGGGTGGACAGCAAACAGAGAAGAGTGTCCTCAACATTTGGAAGGTAGTTCTTGGTTTGTCTTGTTTTCCGTTGCAATAATTGAACGGTCACCTAAAACAGCACTGGTTGACCAACCCATCTCTTGAGCATGCACGTTCTGCGTTCATCTAACTTTTATAAAGCACTGATAATTCAAGTGCAACGCCTCCATCTTGAGTATGTCCAAGGCATGGTTTTGATATCTTTTGGGCTGAATCATGTTTTATCTAGACCCGAAGACTTCGACATCGCCGAAAACACGATCCTCGACTCTCAGCTTTTTCCGGAGCATTTCGAACAAGTCAAGAAACCAGTATTCATGCACCTCACGGTGTAAGTTGGCCTTTCGAGTGTTGCCAGCCGGATCACTTACGAGCTTGAAACCAATTCAATATTTACAGGAGTTCATCAGACCATATAATGAGAAGCTTTGCATATTCGTTGACGGTCATATGGACTAGAAGAACCATGAATCTTTAACTGGGGCAAGGCCATGGTGGATGTCATTGTTGGGCGGCAGTATGACCAGATCTAGACGTATCCTTTTCACTCGATGAAGGGCATTGGCACTAGTACGATTCCTATCGGCAAGGCCTGCAACATAGAGATGAATAGGATAAACGGTGGATCTTACGGCCTGAATGTTATTAATACGTGGTTGTGGATCACGCTTAGACGCCTAATATATAGTCAGTGGGTGCATTTGTCGCGACGATCATGACACGGAATGGTAGACCCGCTTACACACACGTAGATCCATGTGTTTGCTACTTCCTCATACAACAATTTACATGACCTCATGATGTCTGTGATCGCTTGCCGAAACTGTAGTCTATTTTCCTGTGTGGGTCCATGAATGCGTTGACATCCTCATCCGTAATCTTGGCTTTCCGCTATATGTGAGGATCAATACATAATCCTGAAGGTCGTAGTGAAGTCACTGACCTCTTGGAAGACCTTCACGAACTCCTGCAACATTTGAATGCAACGTGCTTTCAATTGACCCGTAAGTAGATGTCCTGCCCTGTAATCCTGATCACGGACATCAGTGACATGATTCGCAAACATCAACCGCAGCCACAGACCTCGCCTATCTTCGCAAATTCTTCGTCATCGTCCAGGAAGAAGCCCAGATATTGATATGCAACATCCACGTCCGTATCACCCCCAAGTCTCCTGTGTTCCTCTTCCGTCTCCCTACCACCAGAGAAACCATGTTTATTGATCTTATTTTTGATCTGGTTAGGGGTATCGGTCATGAATATACTCGTAGTCGCATCCGATGCGCTCATCTTCGTCTGAGGTCCTTGAAGAGCAGGGAAGAAACGGGAGTGGATGAGGGATGGTTTAGGGTACTTGAGTTTCTGCGCGACATCACGCGTAAGCCGGAAGTAAGGGTCTTGGTCTATCGCGCAGGGGATGAGGCATGGGATATTAGAAACTTCGCCAAAGATGTGAGGGAACGAGTTAGAGAAGGACGGGGCTGCTTGAACGGCACAGAAATGGATTTTGCCGATGTTGTCCCTGTTGAAAAATATACCGACCATCCTGGATGAAGGATGAATGAGACTTACGAGTCGTTGAAACCAAATGTGGCTTTTGATTGGTTGTATGATATTTGTCTTGATATTTTGACGACGTTGCGGTAAAATGGTCCGCCGACGTATTCGAAATCACTGAAGATAAATGTCTTCTTGATATCAAATCCCACCGCGATGATGTCTTTTGCGTTGCTCCTCGAGAACTGTAGCGTCTGCTCAGCTTTCAGCTCGTGCTTGAACAAAAATTTCTCGTCATCTGTTCGTTGGGTTAGCGAGTAATCAAATAGAGATGACGAAATACTCGCCGGTTAGCTGGACGACTAGTGGGACATCAAAGACATCCTGCAACCATCTCCAAAATTTGTTAGGCCAATGACAGACATACGCAAATGACTCACTTGGTAAAGAGAAATGGTATCATATGCCCAAGATGCATGCTATCGCTACTTGGACCGCGTCCCGTGTACAAGAAGAATGGTTTTCCCTGTTCATACCGATCCAAAATCTTGTCAAATTCTCTATGAAAGCACATCGACATTAAGCGAATTGTAAGGTAAATCAGCTGAGGCGGCGCTGCATTGCACTCACCGATGCGAGAAAAACATCCCCCGCCTCAGCAACGGATGCGGCTTATGCCCTGTCAATTTCTCGAACCGCTCCAGAAGTTCTGCATCAACTCTGCGCGTCCCGAACTGAACTATCAACTTGTCGTAGTCGATCGCAAGTTGCTTGCCGTCGGCAGAGACTGAGCCCTGCACATCCCACGGCGTTACCAGTTGCTCGTGCGCCTCGGGAAGGATGGTAGTGGGTTGGGAGTTGGACATCTAACAAGGTATGATTAAGCTCAGTTGAGCCCTGAGCTATTTTTCTAGTATTTAAAAGTAGCAGATGCGACACTCATGCGAGTGACTCGAGAGTCGAGATTATCGTAGATTAGCTACCACGTGGATATCCAATCGCCAAATGTGCACGTGATTCATCTACTTCCAGGCTAGTACTGTGTAACTTGCTAACACGTCCCTCAATTTGAGCAGCATCTTATTTGGCTGTGTTCTCACTGGCAGGTGTCATCTCAGTGACTGCATCACTATATGTTATTCATGAGAATGGCACACTGCAGATTCCGGATAAGTAAGTCAATCTCAGGTTCGCTGTCCTGTGAAAAAGCACGATTCGACGCCGGCCTGTAGGCTCGTGACCAGCCTGGCGTCAAATTGACGCATAGTCAGACTGGTTACGAGTCTAGCCGGTCTGGGCTTGCGTAGGCTTGCACCTGTGGCGTTTTGCGGAAATTCATCCCATGCCTTTAAGTTGACAAGGGTCTTGCCGCAGTAGTATATCGTACTCAGTCTTGAACCAGCCGTTCCAGGGCGATGGCTGGGGAGACTGTAGGATTTGTTGGACTAGATCTGCAGCTTAAGCCTGGGTGAACTTTTTTAATGCCTTCCACAATCAGGGTCAGCGGCACACGTCACTATCGCCGTTACGCAACATGCTGCCACAGATTCAGGAATGCAATGTCACTTCCTTATCATCAAGCAGGGTTGCAAACTTCGAGTTCGCAAGATAAATGCAGCATTTCTGCCTGTCTTGGGTGCCGCCCCCTTTCTGGTATTTATCCCGCCCTGCATGGCACTGGTGATTTCTTGGTCGACCATCGTAACTCTGAGAGGTAAGTTTTTGTATGGTGTATAAGCCTTACTGACTTTCCTCCAGTCGTCTCGAGTGCATTCCTAGGTTTAGGGCTGGTGTTGACAATTTTTAGACTTGCCTATCGTATTTGGTTGAGACGGTTCTGGCTCGAGGATGCTTGGGCAGGCGTCGCGTTTCTATTTGGGATAGCCACGTTAACTTCTTGCTGGACTTATGTCGAAGCAGGTAAAAGGAGTCCGCTTGTGCATATCACCCAGTCATTATTGAACTCTTGCCTACAGCGGGTGAAGAAGAAATTATATCATTCTGGGTATACTCATTTACTTTCCTCTCCCTCGTGTGGTGAGTATCTTCGTCTTCAAATCATCATCATCAACTCTCAAGGGCAAATAGGGCCGTCCGGCTAAGTATCTTGTTCTCCATCGTTCGCATTGTGTACGAAACGCAGCACCTCCGTCGCTTGATACTTGGTCTTGCAGGTCTCTTCCTCGGTTTGTGGGCAGGAGTTGTTGCACAAAAAGCGTGGGGTTTTGGGCACAACACCTCTTGGTATCAAACAACTGGGAAGGTGCATGCATTCTTGACGCAACCCATGGTCGCGTTTGAACTGATGAGTACGACTTTCTTGCGGCTCTTACACGACCTGAACTCACACACTTTGTAAGGTGATTGCTTATCTGACACAATACTGATTGTTCTGCCACTGCGCTTACTCTGGAGTTTCAAACTGCCGAAAAGACAGAAAAGGATGATTTTCGCCATATTCTCCTCCAGCATTGTCGTCACCATTATATCCATCTTCCGGGGGTTCTGTGAGACAGCGAAATATACGAGCGTTCTTGGCCCGGTGACAGACTTCGAGGTGAGTCAACATCTTCTGGGGGTACTTGAATCTGAGTGTTGAACGTACTAGACAGCCTTGTCGCTTCTCATTTGCAACCTTCTTGTCGTAGTTACTTTCCTGTACCGCATATTTGGTTTCGCGAGTGCGGACGACTCAGTATCTAGCGATGACGATGATTACACGACACGAACCACTACGGGTGGGGTTTTTACCAGTGTCGACTTGGGCAATGGCGAGTCAGGAGGCGGTGAGCAGAGACATTCGGGGATTCAATCTATGTACATTGCAAGGCGAGAAACCCGTTAATACTGTGACACTAATGTTGGATTCAGTCTACTTTTTTTATCGAGACCCGAAAAATCGAAAGAGTGCGATGACCCGTGATCGAAGCAGGATATACCACTGTTTTCCCGTAGAGTTGCCAGTGCCAAGCTGTTAGTAGTGGCGGCGGCGATCAGCGGCGACCTCCGCATTGTGTCATGGTCGACAACCTGCTGACTCGGAGCCTCGGAGGTGAGCTAATGATCAACAATCGATTATTCCATCTACGGGACTTTAGATCTTGAATGAAGTTCATAGTCTGCACTACCAAGTCTATCTAAGAAGAGATAAGTACATGGCAAGTTACATGTAATATCATGCCGGTCGCTCTACAGCATAGAACTTACACAACATATCCGGAATGCCTCCTATTGGGTCCAGTTGGACCATTGTATAGCATAGACACCGCAACACGGATAACGCCACAATTAGAAATAGTACCACACTGTAGGTAGTGTTCATCGTAGGGCTTGGCCCCTGCAGCGGACGACAACCAAGGTGTTTTTTTTTAAAAAAAAAAAAGAGTTAAGTTAGCATTTCTCTTTCTTTTCATGAATTATATGCTAATGGGCCGCTGCCAGTATCGACTACGCGACAGATACTTTGCTTGGCAGGTTTCCCAATCAATTATGTTGAACTATCCCTGAACTAGCACATAGTCGTGTTAAGTGCAGACACAGACCGACACCCACAACTTAGGTTGAATTCAAACGGCTTCTATGTGATTGGTTGGCAGAAAGGAGATCATTTCCTGTCAAGCAACACAGCTATGGCATGAGTACGTGTTGCAATTGTATCTTTATTTCCATTCAGACTGATGGATTCACCTTTGCCAAGTCGGCCCCTTCTTGGCTCTGTTGTCACCATGACATTGCTGATCGATCCTTCCACGCTTTGTTACGTTACCTTAGGATTGATATTGATGTTCAATTTAAGTCTGGAGCCGGGTTGCATTACTGTCCAGTATACTAATAGATACACTACTATGCCACGGATAGCGCTGAGAGGTAAAGCTGAATATTCCTACAGACATTCTAGCCATTTCAACGATTTTCAGTCATTTGCACTATCCTTCAGGTCTTGGCTGTTCTGATCACTATCCTGCGGCTCGGATATCGTGTGCGGACACATATGTTCTGGGTGGAGGACATGTGGGCTGTTGCAGCGCTTTTATGCGGGGTGGTGAGTGCAAGTTGCTATACTTGTGTTATATTGCAATGATGACGGACGCTGAAGACCTCATTAATCGCTGGATGGAAATTCTTCTATACTGGTGAGCAATGTGATTGTAATGTGGTTAACACCTATCTTTACATAATAGATGGCGGCCAGTCAGCAGTCATATGTTTCTGGGTGTACGGATTTGCCTCTCCATCAGCTATCTGGTGTGCATTTTCTCGTGTTTATCAGCGTTGCTCACTGAGCATATGATAAAATCAGGGCAGTTCGACAAAGTATCCTCTTTTCTGTGGCACGAATTTTCTGGTCAGCGAGGTCCTTGCGCTTGGCGGCCATTGCAATAGCCCTCGTTTTCCTGGTGCTGTATGGCGCGTTAGTGACACAGAATGCTTGGCAATATGGCCACGGTCATGATTGGTGCCATCATCCCGACAAGAATGGGCAAGGACATGAGTATTTGACCCATCCTATAATTATTTTCGAGTTGATAAGTAAAACCTCCGGTCTGAACGACATCCTGACCACTCATGATGATATCAACAGCGGATCGCGTTTCTGATGCAATCATTGTACTACTCGCCTTGTATCTTCTGTGGGGCATAAAGCTTCCAGCGAAAGAACGGATAATGATACTGGCAGTATTGTCGACCAGTATCATTGTGACGATCGTCTCGGTTTTCCGAGCTGTCTGCCAACTCATGCATTTCAGAAGTATCTTGATGATTGCGGCTGCTCTTGAGGTATGAATTGCGCGTCGCGTTGAGGCACCTGTTGGTTGACTGCATAAAAATAATTAGCTCGCAGTTTCGCTCCTTACGTGCAATCTTCTTGTGGCTACAACTCATATCTACAAGATCGTGGTTCATCGTAGACGCAGTGACTCCGAATCAAACACCTATTCGGACATAGTATTCTCCCAAGAAGTCACAGCAGCAGTCTTACGCCCGTCTGTAACCCTTGACGGAAGAGGACAATTGACCACCATTGACCTAACCGATTACTGTGGGGATAGTCAGCCTGTAACTCAAGCAGAGCCATAGGGTTACTTGTGCTGGCAGAACAGAGTTCAATGGCAAAGCAATATACACGATATATACCTGATCACCCCTAGTTAGACCACATATATGATAGAAGAAAGACTGATTTTACACACGTCCGTGCTGTCTGGATAAACAGGAGCGCACACAGCTTTGATGGGAAATCACATTCCGTACATATGTCATTATACATACGACAAGGTATGTACACCTACGTTGTTGTATAGTTATTTGGTAACATCACACATCTGTTATGTCAAGATTTACACACTGCCAAGATTGTTTCTAAACAACATCAATCCCTGTGAGACTGGAAGATGAGACATACGAGCATACCCCAAATCAAAAACGCACTGCTAGGCAATGCTGCGGCCTGCCACGTACACCCATCATCATGCACGAGCGTGAGAATAATATTGCCTATTTGGGTAGCCTTCTAGAATATTCCACGCCACATACAAAGGGCCCCGCGCCTGTTCGATGTGTAGCTTTGAAGTCGATTCCAAGAGTACAAAGGTATCCTGCTCGTTGAGAACAAAGCCTAGCGAGACGTTCGCACTAGTATCTATCTTGTGCATTCAAGGATTAAGGGAAAATACAAGGTAGCGCGCTCGGATCATAAGTGATGGATTTTATGATGGAAGAAAGAGGAAGAGGAACGTACAATGGAGATCAGATCCGAGTTATGGTCGGAGTTTGAAATTGAAAGGTATATATAATGGCCTCGACCTCGACCCTTCACGCAATTTTTCCCCCCGCCGAGATTTCCCACGAACTTCGACGAACAAATTTTCATTGTCTTTTCTATTGTCAAGAATGTCATTTGCACTTCCCGCTCGTCAGGTCACCTTCGGCAGGTCTGCTGCACCTTACCAGCAACCAAGTCAACCCTCTCAGCCCCAAGCTGCCCAACCTAATCATGGGCTAGCACTTCCCGGCGCTGGTGCCTATAGTCTTCCTGTGCCATCGAATCTCGCGCTTCCGGGACCATCACCACTGTCTCAATCACATACCCCTCCTCCTTCACAGCCTCAGCCTGCAAATGCGACAACGGTAATTAGTAATGGCACTACGTCAGTGGCTGTAGCAGGTCCTTCGACGCCACCGGCCAATGCTGTTCCCGCCACACCGGCTCCTCTCACACTTGAGCAACAACACATCACAGCTGTGGAAGGCATCGTGCCCACGCTGCAAAATATTGTTGCAACAGTTAACCTCGATTGTCGTCTTGACCTCAAGACCATTGCGCTGCACGCCCGGAATGCAGAGTATAACCCTAAGGTTGGTACTACTGTTTGACTACCTGTCGTTGCACGCCAATGCGCTTTGCACGATAGCGTTTTGCAGCTGTCATCATGCGTATTCGCGATCCCAAGACAACTGCACTTATCTTCGCCTCGGGCAAGATGGTCGTCACGGGCGCGAAGAGCGAAGACGACTCAAGATTGGCGTCGCGCAAATACGCGCGTATCGTGCAAAAACTTGGCTTCGACGCCAAGTTCGCCGAGTTCAAGATCCAAAACATAGTCGGAAGTTGTGACGTGAAGTTCCCTATTCGCTTGGAGGGTCTTGCATATAGTCACGGACAGTTCAGCAGTTACGAGCCTGAGGTATGTAAGCGCAATGCGAGGCCTTTATTTACTTACATGCTTTCAGTTGTTCCCCGGTCTCATCTATCGCATGCTCAAGCCGAAGGTCGTGTTATTGATCTTCGTTTCGGGGAAGATAGTGTTGACTGGTGCAAAGGTAAAGACTTTTGTTATTATATCTTCTCGCGTCAGTGATTCTTGGATTATTCCATGATGAGACCGACGTGTTGGTGGATCTGGTTCGAACCCTCCGCTGACACTTGTTGCTCCTCTCCTCTCCGCTAGGTCAGGGAAGAGATTTATACTGCGTTCAACACTATCTACACAGTGCTGTGCGAGTTTAGGAAACCTTGATGTTGTCTCCGCTGGAGGCTTCGTCCTCTTCCTGCCTTTTATCACACCAGGGTTCGCACTACACCGCTTGTCGACAGGGCCGCCCTGATTCTCGACGACTCTCTTCGATGACGGTAGTGGGCGAGGCCTATTATAAAAATATTTTTACATGAGGGCTGACAGGCCGGGGAGCAGACGTAGTGCACGGATATTCCTCCTCCTCCCTCTTCACTGATAATCATTTTCATGGCCTTTCTCCTCAATTTTAATCACAATTCACGCGTAAAGACCATTCATGTCTTTTGAACACTTAGTCGTCTTGGTAGATCATATGTTACAATATGCTCGTAGTCTGGGTTACAATGTTTACTGCCCACTTATACCCATCATTGAGTTTGAAAACTTCCGAAGTCAATAACGCCTGCTGATGCGGCCATAGATATGCAAGCAAAGTACAGTACAAGCCATAAGTAAGGAGAACAGCACTCAGAATGTAAGAAACAATACAATCAGTGTTCATGACGGAAGAAAACAGAAGCTGGATTAAGGGGTCAAAAAAAGTACATTCAATAGTCATTTGGGTTCACCTTCGTCCTCTCTTCAAAATCGCTTTTCAAGGACGTTTCATGTTTCACTGCCAACAAGTGGCGCACGCTCTTCGTCCAAGATGATTGAACCACCCCTGAATCGCTTGTACGTGCCAAAGATGCCCATGAAAACCCAGAACGCAGAGAGCAATGCAAATGCGAGTGCAGACCAGTGAATGAATCCCGAGCGGTGAACATTTTGATGAGCAAAGATCGCGAAGAGAGACCACGTTATCGCGAAGCTGGCAGCAAGGTCACCCTCAGGGCTGGAGAAAGCATAGGTGGCCGCAGTCGCCTCGAGGAAGAACCTGTACGACATGAGAATTCTGATGTATCACAAGGAGAACTGTATTGACGTACAAAGCGAGGAATACGAAAACCTTGGTCCAAACACCGGCTGGTACATAAAGCGCGTTAACGCCGAATGCTTCAAACGCAGTGATTATAACAAGAACGGTAGTCCACCCATGGTAAAGGGAGAACGGCAAGTGGACCAAGACTTCGTCGCCGACGTTAGCAGGTGCGTGGAACTTCTTCACGACGTAGTAGATGTGCTATATGAAAGATGTGACGCTCTGAATACTATGAAGCGAGCTAAGAGACTTACGGAGATAGTACTGCTTACGAACAACGCAAAGACAAATGCCAATATATAGTGTTGGGATGCCCATAAATGCACGTATATGGCATTCATGATGCCGAGGAGAGGGAAGCGCCACGAAATGCCATCGATGATTACTTTCTTGCCAGGAGCGGTGAACTGGTAAATGACAGTACCCAGAAGGAGCAGATGGATGAGAGACCTGAGAGTACCGTAAGTATTGGTTAGGGTGGGCAGCAAACAGCATACCAAATCAAAAAGGCCCATGGAGCAGGGGTTACGTATGTCTCCCTGCCAGTGAAGTAGACATCATGAGGTGCCGCTACGGTGTAGACGTTGGAACCAAGGAAAAGGAAGTAGACGACGATGTTTGCAATCTAGTTGTTAGAACCCAAGACAAGTGAGTCCCACATGATCTAGAGCTTGAGAAACCACGAACCTTTAGCAAGATATCATCTCTCCAATTGTCTGACATGACAATTCTGGTCTCAGATACTCTTTGTGTTGTGGTTTGCGTAACGAGGATGAAGGTAGGGAGTAAGAGGGACTTTGCTTATATACATGACCTTACGCAGTCTGACGACATGTCCTCGTCATGCCCAAAAAAAGAAGTAAGTCCTACGCCACACCAACTTGCGCATCAACACCACCTCGGACCTTTTCTTGCCCTTCTGGTAATTAGGGTTAGCGCTCGACGACTGATTCAATGATGGCGCGGCCGACGAACATAGTTGGAGCAAGATTCGACGGTCACCTATCATTCTATAGTTCTCACAGCACAATAACAAGGACTCTTGAATTCTCTGACCAGCTGTGCTCGACATTGCAGTTCGGCTTATAAACTAGCTTGCTTGTGGGTTATTTGAATATGTGTGAATTTTACTTGTGGGTACTGAAGGAACCTGCACTGCTTGCACAAGCCACGCAGTCACGCCGCAGTGTGATGGTCGTCATAGTGAGCTAGCCAACGCTCTGGCTATATAACCCCTACTGGTTGACCTCCCAGCTGGACAATGATTTAATTTTTATCCGGTACGTTCACTTCCCAGCATGCAGCGATGAACAACTGTTTCAGGAACATGTCATGTCATGAGATAGAACCATTTTGAGACGATGACATTCCGCAGCGTTATCTTCCAAGACAGACGAGTCGCTTTCAGGTGACTCGTGAATTGGCATTACTGTTCTAGGCTTAGAACACCTCGCAGGCACGTACAGGGGTACCTCAAGATTCGTCATACTGTCAACATATGACATGAGAGAGCTGGATCGGATTTGTCTTGCGATGGGGCGCAATCGATGATAGAGGGGAAAAGCAGTGAGGTCAGTCATAAAACGCATTGAATGCGTGTAATGCAGTTTGGTTTTTGCAGAACGTTCGAAATTCGTAACATGATCCTCCCCAGTCATCCATGTCCAGCTCTGAATACGCACCACTGCTCGAAAATAGTGGCCATAAAACCTCTCTACTACTCGTTGCATTGTCACCTTCATGGAAGGCGAGAGTGAACCATCCATGGGCAGAATCGTTCGAGTTCTTTATTGTTGGGACATGGTTCAATATCCCACACGTATTCGGTAATATTCGCGTATAGTTTTCTTGATTTCTTACTGCACTATTCTGCCGCCATTTTCACGCCAGAGTCTCCATCACACCAAAACCTATCACTAAGCTACTCAAGTTTAGCTTGCTGGGTCAGATATAAATTATGACTACCAATAGACCAGAACGAGTAGGCACAGGGTAGCGCTGTAAAGTAGGAGGAAAAAAATTGTGCTGGCGCCGAGTTGCTACCATAAGAATGTGGAACGGTGGAAGCCGGGCGGAGAGAGCTGCGACGAGGATGTGTGCTGGCGGCGGGAAGGAGTTGGAGTGGTGTCAAGGGTTCTGGGCAGGAAGAGAATAGACGGTGTCATTCGCAGGAGCATGAGTTAGAAAAATTGGCAGAGAATGTCGATGGCGTACGAACGCGCCCATTGACAATATTGATATTGAATATTGAATCTCGAGTAGAAACGACAACGACGTGTAGTTCGCGATCGGACAATATTTGAAGATACAGACTCCGGGGTCCACCTTGTAGTTTCCCACCCTGTTGTTGGACATGTTCCGCTGTGTCGGTAAGGTACTAATCGACGTTGCACCAACACCGATCACAGGTAACATGGGGCAGGAGTGTTTCGGAGCTCATCTCCGAAATACTTTATAAACTCAACAAAGTAAGTATCTACGAGAGCAACCACGATGCTGGTTGCATACGTCTCGACAGCGACGCTTGTCCCAGTTTTCAAACCTCGTGCAACCGTCTTCCTTAGAGCAAGATGGTACAGTACTCCTGCGGAACTTCCACTACCCAATAAGTCGAAGGTGTGGAAGTCTGTCGACGAAGCAGTTAAAGATGTGAAGTCAGGAGATGTCCTTTTGTGTGGTGGTGAGTACTGTCGCATTCCATTTCTTATACCAGATGTATGATGTTCTGGTACGCAATACCCAGGTTTTGGTTTGGCCGGCGTGCCAGGTGAGTCTCAACAGAAGGTGGATCTCGAGCGGTGTAACTAAGCTAGTATAAAACAAGACACGCTGCTTTCCGCCTTGGTCAAGCGCAAGGACGTTACAAAGCTAACAGGAGTTTCCAATAATGCTGGCGCAGGCGATTCCGGACTTGGTTTGTTTATCCACAATTGTCCATGATCCCTGAACCTCATGAATATCCATAGGAAAGTTGTTCAACAGCAAGCAGATAGATAAGGTCGTTGCTTCATACCCTGGAGGGTGAGTAACTCATCCTGTCAGGGCCGGCGCGAGATAAACTGTGTGTCCGTCCAGAAACAAGGCCTTCGAGGCTCTATATCTCAAGGGCGAGGTGTCTTTGGAGCTATGCCCCCAAGGTACACTCGTCGAGCGTCTCCGTGCCCATGCCGCTGGTATCCCAGCCTTCTTCACCCCTACTGGAGCGTCAACAGCAGTAGAGGAAGGTTCTATCCCAACACGATACAACGAAGGAGGATTTGCCAATGGAGTCAAGATACCAGGTATTAAGAAAGAATCACGGGAATTTGGAGGCCGCAAGTATATCATGGAACCGGCCATTGCTGGCGATGTCGCTTTCGTTCGTGCATGGAAAGTCGATGAGGCTGGCAACTGCGTTTTTCGGTGAGGAGGCCATTTTTGTGCGTTCAACTCAGCGCTGAACGTGCTGACTTGGGTAGGTACACACAGCAGAATTTTAGCACGGTCATGGCGAAGAATGCAAAACTCACGATAGTGGAGGTGAGTACATCACGATATTTTTGTGAGAAAGTTGATGCATTCTTTGTAGGCGGATCAAATCGTGCCCACTGGCTCTCTTTCACCCAATGCCATTCACGTTCCTGGAATTTATGTCGATCGGGTTGTTCAGTCCACCGCACCAAAGCAAATAGAGCATATCAAGCTTGCGCCAAGCCCATCATCTTCTGCTGAACAGTCTACTCTGAGTGCTGAGAAAGAATTCGCACAGAAGATGCGTCATCGTACTGCAAAGCGCGCCGCCAAGGAGCTCAAGGATGGATTCTACGTAAACCTCGGCATTGGCATACCTACTCTCATTCCCGCGTACCTCGAACCCGGCGTGCGCGTTTGGCTGCAAAGCGAGAATGGCATTCTCGGCATGGGGCCATACCCTACGGCAGAGCAAGTGGATCCGTAAGTTGCGCCGCCATGGAGTGTTTCCTAATGCTAACCATCTATTTGTAGGGATCTCATCAATGCGGGTAAGGAGACTGTGACCTTGCTGCCGGGCGCCTCGGTTTTCGGTATGTTCGTCGTGTGTTCGGCTTCAATTTCTAACATCACAGGGCAGATTCAAGTGAATCATTCGCTATGATTCGCGGTGGTCATGTCGATCTCTCCATTCTTGGAGTGGGTATTTTCGCACACTCGCTGATTTCCTTGATGATCTCACCGTATTCTGGTTCTTCTCATAGGCTATGCAAGTCTCGCAAGCCGGCGACATCGCTAATTTCATGATTCCTGGAAAACTGGTGAAAGGTTAGTAATTTAGACATGTTTCGTCATTCTTCCGCAGCATTCTCACCGTCGGTCACATTCTTAGGTATCGGAGGCGCTATGGATCTGGTGTCTAACCCCGACAAAACAAAGGTTATAGTTGTGATGGAGCACTGTGCGAAGGACGGCAGTCCCAAGATTTTGAAGGAATGCAGTCTTCCGCTTACGGGTGCCCGTACTGTCAGCCAAATTATCACGGAATTGGCCGTTTTCGACGTCGACAGGAAGAACGGTCACCTCGAGCTTGTTGAACTCCAGGAAGGCGTAACACTTGAAGAAGTCAAAGCGAAGACCGGCTGCGATTTCAAAGTACGGAGCGATCTGAGCAAGCTTTGATCGCTCTCAGGTTTCGAGGTTATTATCATCGAGCAAACATTATTACCATCGTTTCCTTACAAAAATTATTTGTTACAGCACGTATATTGTTCTTATACCACCTAGGTACTTCAATGGGCGAGTTTAGTAGCTGTCTCCCAGCTGACATTACCTCATATAAAGATCCACCATGCACGCTACCATCTCTATCGAAGAAAAAATGCAGACATCGGTCTCCACACTGCAAAATATTATGGCTGTAGAGTCAACTTCGAAACTGTATACCATCCTTGAGAACCTCGGCGCTCCTCGTTTCACGACCTCCAGATGTTTCATTTACGATGTCAAGGCAAATGGTCTCAAAGACCTTCTCATCACCGCCCAAGACAAGTTGATTCAATTCTCGCGTGCAAGGCGCACTCGGCAGACATTACTGCGTCCATGAAATCATCAGGACCTCCGACTCCTTGATTCTGTAGACGATATGCAGAGCGTCAACAGCTCTGTGCTCGAGTTTTCGTTAGAGAATGCATCCAGCAACTCTCCTGGAGAGGATGGGTCCGTGGCCTCTCAGCCTCAGTCACGAGGGCTAAGGCTGATTGTTCGCCTTGGACGACCTTTGGCAGCGTGGTGGGGAATACAAGATAATCACGTCCGATCACAATATCATGGAACGGGCCAAGGACACGACTTCTATTCATGACATGATGGACATCAGAACGCTAGAGATATTGCAGTTGCATAAATTTTGAAGAAAGGGAGTCTAACGCGCTCTCATTGATACCTGCCGCGTGGAACTGGCTTACAACAGGAAATCACGCTCATGCGCGTAATAAGTTCACCTACTCTACACGTAGTACTTTCGCTGTGCCACGAGCGCGGTCCCACTGGTCTGTTTTCTTTGGCCATTCTATAGACTCGAGTGTTCGATCATTATAACCGAGTCAGATTTGGTGACTACCACTAAGTTAGAACCCGCGCTCATTATACTTCAATACAAGTTCCCTATCCCCCGTTTCTTCATCATCGGTCCCAAGTCGGATCTCCAACCCTGCCGCTTTTTATCTTGTAAAGTATCAGCCGATACGCTTGACGTTGAGCAAAAAAAAGGTGCCAGGGGTTCTGCAATGGCAACGGCCGACGAAGATTTTCGGAATGTGATACCGACTCTGATTACTTAGACTTAATCAGGAACCATCAAGTTTCAGTGACTTGAATGTTTCACTCATGAATCATGATAGCACGGAAATACGTGTTCCTGAGGCTGCCCGCATGAGGACTTTGCTGGGCTTTGTGATTGTCCTTTGGCTCCACAGGTGGAATACTGTGGAGTACCGACGCGTCGGGACAACTTGTGACATGGAATATTGGCATTCGGCCGGTCAACCACAACCAAATTCCTCTGATTCTTTGTCCTGGAACCTGAAGCCTGGCACCTATGGGTCCTGCTCTCCTCCTTCCTACGCATAGTACGCAGATTTTTCGACGATGCAAGGGTCTGACATCCTTCCGGTTGTGTATAAGACATTATGCGACGCAGCCTGAGTCTGCTGCACTCCGGCGGAAGAAAGTATGGGCATCTGCAGATGCTGCTGTGCAAGATGTGAAGTCTGGGGACATCGTGCTGAGCGGAGGTGTGTCTGCATCATTGCGGTTGGATTGGAGTTGATACGATTTCATTCAATGTCAGGGTTCGGCTTGTGTGGTACTCCTGGTAGGTTTTGCCCACCAGCTCCAAAGAAGGATGTTTTATAATCGCCTCACAGAGACTTTGATCACTGCTCTTTCACGACGAAATGACGTGCGCGGTTTGACTGCTGTGTCAAACAATGCTGGTTCAAGTGAGTTGGGTCTAGGTAAGTAGTTCGTTTTTCTGCGCCAAGTAGTGGAATCTCACCAATTCTCATGTACTAGTCAAGCTAATGAAGAGTGGACAACTTGACAAGCTCATAATATCATACCTGGGCGGGTATGTGCTACTGCCGCATATATGTTCATGTGCTTATCGCTCGCTTAGAAACAAATACCTTGAGCGGATGTACCTTGATGGAAAGATGTCCCTCGAACTGGTCCCGCAAGGTACCCTCGTTGAACGGATGCGCGCGCACGGCGCTGGCATTCCCGCCTTCTTCACACCCACAGGTGCCTCCACGACTGTTGAAACTGGCGGCATTCCCATCAGATTCAAAACAGGCGGCTTCAAAGAAGGTATTTTTATACCTGGAAACAAAAAGGAATATCGAGAATTCAATGGTAAACGGTACATCATGGAGCCTGCCATCGCTGGTGACGTCGCGTTCATCCACGCCTGGAAAGCAGACGAGGCAGGCAACCTCATGTTCCGACATGTCGCAAACAATTACAATAACGCCATGGCGAGGAATGCGCAGTTAGTTATCGCAGAGGTGAGAGTAATGCAGTCACTATTTGGCACCCAGCTTATCGCGCTTCTAGGCGGAGGAGATTGTTCCCATTGGCTCCTTGCCACCAAACGCTGTCCACGTTCCAGGAATATTTGTTGACCGTGTTGTGCAGGCCACTGAGCCAAAAGGTTTTGATATCATTGCCACTGCTCCGCCACCCGGAACTACTGGTGGCTCCTCACCTGAGGAACTCCTGGAAAAAAGCACACGGCGCAGAATAGCAAAGCGCGCGGCACAGGAGCTCAGAGATGGCTTTTACGTGAACCTTGGTGTCGGTATTCCCACTCTCGTCTCGGAGTATCTCCGACCAGGCGTCAAGATCTGGCTGCAAAGTGAAAATGGCATTCTGGGAATGGGTCCGTTCCCTACCGAGGACCAAATCGATCCGTGGGTGTCACTGGCTATATGTTCCAATGATGTTGGTGCTGATAGGAAGCTAACAGGGATATCACGAATGCTGGAAAGGAGACGGTCACTTTATTGCCGGGCGCTTCGATCTTTGGTGAGTGACGTCAGCGCATGAGTGGGAGGCGCGTGCTGATGCATTGTATATAGATTCGACTGATTCGTTTGGTATGATCCGGGGTGGTCACATGGACGTCGCCATCCTTGGTGTATGTTTTATTTTGGTTGGCTGTGGGAATTTTTCATGATCAACCTTTTTTCAGGCTATGCAAGTATCGGAGGCCGGCGACATTGCAAACTTCATGATTCCAGGCAAGCTTGTGAAGGGCATGTGATTTAGCGTCTCATCTGTACCTGGACTTATATGAGACCTGCAGGCATTGGAGGAGCCATGGACCTGGTGTCAAATCCTGAGAAGACGAAGGTCATTGTGGCCATGGAACACTGTGCAAAAGATGGAGGTCCAAAAATCATGCAGGAATGCTCGTTGCCGCTGACCGGTGCACGGGCGGTCAGTCAGATTATTACCGAACTCGCTGTGTTCAACGTTGACCGGTCTGGTGGCTTCCTGACGCTCATGGAAGTAGCCAAGGGTGTGACGGTGGAGGAAGTACGAGCGAAGACCGCTTGTGACTTCAAGGTCTCTGACAATCTTGGGCAGATGTAAGCTCGTATTGATGGTAGTACACGATACCGTATGGATGAGCAGGCTTGTTTCCTCGATGTCTAATGATATCAATCACACGCTAATTCCGTTTTACACGGCTATCCAAGTAGGCGTCTTTCGGTACAGTTGAATTTTTACATATATTTGGGGATCGATTGCTGTAATACCAGGCCGTCGCTTCGCATTGCGCCGCAGTAATAGATATTTTAAACAGGAAGTTTGTGATAACGAGGCGGCGTATTACTTGTACGCATGGGGACAGAAATAGACACGAAAATCCTATTTCCCTTTACGAGGGTTAGCAACTGTCTTACAACAAACATCACTTGAATCGACTTGCGGACTGTGTGTCCACCGTCTGGAAAATCAGCTGGCGACGACGAACAATGAATTGGTTCGCTTCACTGTTTTCCACTGACCGTAAACAGTCTGTACGACGAGGACAAGCCATGTCGACAACGCACGAGGCCTTCTCACTCCCAACTTCGTCATCGGGTCATGGGCGTCATCCAGACGCTTTCAATCCAGCGGCTCTTCAAACACCAGGACCACTCAGTCCAGCATATACATATCCACCGCAATCCCCAATTTCTGCATACAGTTATGTACCGACTTCGTTCGTCCATTCCTACTTTGTTTTCAATTCAATTAACTGACCTCCGTTAACCATCCAGCTCTCGCTCACGACCAGCCTCACTCCTTCCTCTTCATCACACCTCTTTTATAGATTCAACGACCCCACCGCCGCCTTACCCTCCGTTAGAAAATACCTGGAATCGCCTAAAACTATGGCTGGCTCGTGAATACCCAGAACTGGGCGATACTCTCAACTACGGAATTCTCCCGCAGGACCTCGCGCAAATTGAGATGCAATTTGGTTTTGCACTACCGCAGGCGGTAAGGGAGTCATATCTTGTCGTGGACGGACAAGAAGCAGAATCGTCAGCGGGGTGTTCAGATGGTCTCTTCTTTGGCCTCTCGTTACTCCCACTCGAAGCTGTTCTTGAGGAATGGCGATTTTGGCGCGAAGTCGATGATGACCCTCAAACAGGAAGTAATCCACGTCTGCGCGACATCATGCGGTCCATACCCGACGGCTATGTGCGGAAGGAATATTCGCAGCGTGGTTGGATCCCACTCGTCGCAGATAAGGCAGGCAACTATATCGGTATTGACCTCAACCCTGATGCGGCCGGCGCCGTGGGTCAGGTAATCGTCTTCGGGCGCGAGTTCGATACGAAGATAGTGCTCTGGCATGGGGATGGACCTGGTGGGTGGGCGCGGTGGCTCGCAAATTTCGTCGATGAATTAGAGAGCGGTGAGGGCTTTGAGCTGGGACAGGCAGGAGAGAGTGAAGGCAGTGATGATGGTTTGGGATATGAGGCATACTTCTTTGATGGAAGCGGGCGAGGGCAAGGTGACGGTGGTGGGGAGGCCGGATCGGGGGGACTGCGGCTCACCGGAGAGTATAGAGGGTCGAATCCAATGGAGGCATGGGCTGACCGGAGCGTTAAGAAATGGTATGAATCAGGTTTGATCTACAGTGCTCCGCCATTGGATGAGAAGAAGGGCAAGGTATGCATCATTACTCTTATTGGTGAATTCTACGGTTAACGTATTAATTATAGGCACGGGAGAGACATGGTCTCGGCGTTTTGAACCTCACTGATTCCGACGCAATTGTTCCTATTCCCGTTTTTACGGACTTGAAGCCCACAGAAGAACCTACCGATGTTATACCACAGCCACCTGTTCCCGCTATCTCCATCACTAAACCCCCAGCTCCGTTACCCGTAGACTTACCGACTCCCAACGATGTCGTCTCTCTCCCCTCGCCGCCAGATTCACTACGCTCATCTAACGAGGATCTTGAAGCGGGCCGTGGGCTCGGGATGCGGGCAATACCAACAGACGTGGCAATCATTAAAGTTCCTCCTAGACATTCTCCTCCTGCGAAAGTGGAAACTCTTGTCGAACAGGTCATTTCTACGGCAGACAGCGTGCATATAGAGACACCACCTCCTTCTGTGGAAAACGTCACCGACCTCCTTGCTGACTCTGCTCCTGCTATGGATGCAGTTCCACTGGAACCCTCGACCCCCACTAATGTGGTCATAGAACTAGAGGCTCCTGGATCGTCAGAGCCCATTGTTACCTCGCGGCCGTCGCAAGAGGACGCTCAAGAAATTAGCACAACTATTCGGTTAATCGGCGGTGGAGGCTCCTCTGGTATTGTAGATACCAACCCCACAGACGATGCTGTTTCCGACCCAGCAGCAAATGTCATGTCTGTGACTTCTTCAGGACAAGGCAGCTCTCCTCCGAAGAAGGAAAAAATACATGAGAAGAGCAAGTCGAGCCTGTCGTCGCTGAAGAAGATTGCTAACATTGGCGAGGGCAAACGGAAAAAGGACTCAAGCAGTAGCATGAAAGAGACAATATGACCGCCACGCGACCTACATACCACGGATTCGCATTTTTGACTTGTTCGACGGACATGGTTTGCTTAATGCTTATGTTCACTACAGCTGCGTGAGTGTGTTGTTCGAGTTCTATTACTGCCCTTTTGTCACTACTTTTACCCTGACTTTTACTCCTTACACATCCACTCGTTGCATTGCAATTTTTTGTCTGATATACCCATACGTAACTACAAATCATTATCAGTGTTGCTCTGTGATTTCAGCTAATATAATTTTCCTGGAGAGGGCCTATAGGTCGCTGTTTATATTCCAGTTTAAATTTGTGGCAGATGCTCTTGGGCGTAACATCACGTGATAGCTTACCGACGTGTTGTTGAGACGGAGGATTTGCCTTTTTTGTGTCTTTATATTTCGAACGCGTTGGTTTGGGTTTTCGGATTCTTCTTGGCTCTGGGCTGTCGTCGCAGAAATGCACTCGCTCTTCTATGTCTTATTCCATCCGCTGAACACGCTCAACTTATGGCTCGAAGACGATCCGAATGCCAGTATCGTCGATGTATTATACCTCTTCACCACGTTTTCAGCATTCGGTATATGGCTGGTATTTGACAGGTACCAGAAAGCGGTCAACAGCGCAGTGCCTTTCCGCCACCCTGCTCCAGAGGTGTGTCTGTTTCGTATTTTACCTTCGGAAGAAACCCATTCTTCTCGTTGACAGGCAGCAGACCCCAACTGGCACTCTCGCGTGATACCCAATGCCAACCTCTACTCGCATCTCCAGATGCCCGACCTCCTTCCTCTCCAATTTGGAGGAGGCGGACGTGATTATATCACGTGTTTTGACCCCGCCAACAGCTTGCACCTCACTTCCGTTCTCGCGGATGATGCACGGTCAATCGAGGCCAAGATCAAACGCGCGAAAAATGCCCAGGTCAAGTGGTGTGAGACATCATTTGGTGAGCGGAGGCGCGTCATGCGCAGCTTACTCAAGTGGCTTGTGGAAAACCAGGAGTTATGCGCGCGGGTCGCGTGCCGCGACTCAGGAAAGACGAGTGAGTTATTTTTGGTGTCATTTTCTGCCGTTATCGAGATGGTTCCTTGTAGTGGTTGATGCGGCTTTGGGCGAGATATTGACGACATGCTCAAAGCTGGAGTGGTTGATCAACCATGGAGAACGCGCTCTACGAACGGAAACGAGATATTCAAATTTGATGATGAGTTACAAGAAGTCACAGGTTATTTACGAGCCGAAAGGCGTCGTGTCTGCTATCGTGTCATGGAACTACCGTTGGTGTCTCTTCAGTGACGTAATTGATAAAGTGGTTGATCTGATTGTAGCTCTTCATAATGCTTGGTCACCAATCGTCGCATCTATCTTTGCCGGAAACGCTATCGTACTCAAGGCATCTGAACATGTTATTTGGTCTACGGAATGGTTTGTTGGCGCTATTCACAAATGCCTAGAGGTTCTCGGATATGATGCTGATATTGTGCAGGTATGGGTAGGATTAATTTTCGTACCACAATACTAACCGAATTTTAGACTGTCTGCTGCTGGCCTGATCAGGCTGAGGCATTGACTAAGTCGCCTCTTATCAAGCACATCACTTTCATTGGCTCAGAGGAAGTGGGAAGAAAGGTAAATAGATCATTGCAGAGGCTATTCGAATTGTTTTTAACTTCTCCGTAGGTCGCCATGGCTGCCACTGAACACCTGACACCCGTTACTCTGGAGCTTGGCGGAAAGGATCCTGCTATCATTCTACCAGACACGGACCTCCAGAAATGGTCTAGTATTTGGATGCGTGGCGTATTGTGAGCTTTACGCGTGTTTACTTGACACGTCCCCAACTAACTGATGTGCCAGCCAAAACTCGGGTCAGAACTGCATCGGTATTGAGCGTCTCATTGTGCACTCGGAACAATACGAAGAATTGTACGATATCCTGACGGACCGCGTCGCCAAGTTGCGCTTTGGGTCCGTGCTGGCGCCTACACGCGAGGGCTACATCAACACCGTGGATTGTGGCTCTATGATCAGTAATGACCGGTTTAATGTGCTCGAGGAGCTGGTATTCCAGGCGCAGGAAGATGGAGCAAGAGTCGATGTCGGCGGAAAGGAGCTCCTGCATACGTCGTGTGAGGGGAAATCATATTTCCAGGCAACAGTGGTGGGTGATGCCAAGCCCAACTCGAGAATTGCACAGGTGGAATGCAAGTGTTGTTGTGCTATGTTTCGAATTGCTGACGTTGATGCCTATCCATGAAGTGTTCGCCCCAATTGCGCTGCTCATTCGATATGATGATATTGATGAAGCGATCACTATCGCGAATGGAACGCGGTACGGGCTTGGCGCCAGCGTCTTTGGACCTCATCAAGACCTGTGTATTGAAGTTGCAAAGGAGCTTCATTGTGGTATGGTATCTGTCAACGACTTCGGAGTGTTCTATGTGAGCCGTTTTTGCCTCTCGCTAGCTGCTTACTCCAATGCTGAAATATGCTACTTTTAGCTCAAGTAAGCGGTATGTTGATGAGTCCGAAATGTAGTAATTAATTTCTCCATAGCCAAGACCTGCCATTTGGAGGCACCAAATCCAGTGGATACGGACGATTCGGTGGCCCTGAAGGACTTCGTGCACTGACAAACCCTAAAGCAATCGTCACCGACCGCTGGCCGTCATTTGTGCAGACCAGTATACCCAAAGTGCTCGACTATCCCATACGCTCACTCGTGCGGAGTTGGTACGTCCCTTCTTTCCTGCGGTTTCCTTTTTTGTTCTGATCGGTATTGTA